GAGAGAATCTGAGAGGGTTCCAATTCGCCCTCCCTCCAGATCACAACAAAGGGATATCTTCTTGGGTGTTGAGCTTCATTCACCGTAGATCATTATCTCGGTCAGGACGGTCCTGGATTAGCCAGAGGAGGTCAAATCGGGAGAGCAGTGCAGCAGGAAGCTGTATGTTCTGCTCCAGGCTTCGGCGAGGGTTGTAGCGCCCATAGGCAGGATTAGCAGCAGCCAGAATGGAGCAGCGGGCGTTGAGCGTGGTGAGAATACCAGCCTTGGCAATAGAGATGGTCTGCTGCTCCATAACCTCATGAATAGCCGTGCGATCAGCCTCAGCCATCTTGTCAAACTCATCAATGCAGCACACGCCCTGGTCAGCCAGCACAAGGGCGCCCCCCTCTAAGGTCAGTTCTCCACTCACGGAGTCTCTCAGCACAGCTGCTGTCAGTCCCACTCCTGAAGAGCCTCGTCCTGTTGTGTACTGGCCTGAACAGCAGGGTTGGAAAGAGAAAAGAAATAGACATCGTTTAGGAGGAGAGAGTAATGAGAGCACAAAAGGGCAAAAACTCAGGGAATAAAGCTCGTCAGGTGAGACCTGCAATGGAACTGCTCTCCCACCCAGGCCTTTGGCAGTAGCTGAAGATCTGAGGTGCTGACATCGGCAGTATCTCCCTTACATAACTCCCCCACCTTCCACACTGCTGAGAGAGTAGACAATGCACCATCCTATTCTGGTTTTTATGTTTACCATTCCCAGAGTCCAATTAATTACTCACTGCGGGGGGCCAGGCGATCGATGTAAGAAAGGAGCTGAGACTTGGCCACACCAGGGTCCCCCATCAGGCAGATATTGATGTTGCCTAGAGGAAGGAAAAAGGAAACTCTTAAGTGACTATCGTTTCCAAACAAACTATCCAGTAACAGAAATAAACTTTTTTGGTTTCCCCCACCCCATACCTAGAACACTATCTTCTAATCCTTCCCTGCACCCATAAAGCAATGGCCTGTGATGTATAGGAACACCAGTCTGTTATCCTCACTTCTTCCCAAATGCCTTCACTCACTCTGAGCCTTCTCCATGCCCCTTCTTACCCCTGATTTTCATTCCTCGAGGAGACTGGTCCACACCTCCCACCAGCAGGAGCAGCAGTGCCTTCTTCACATCCTCATGCCCATATATCTCTGGGGCAATGGATGCTGCCAGCTTTTCATAGAAATCCTCCTCTGTGGAAAGTTAAAAACAGTATTTTCTGAGAAGAGATTTCCAGATAGAAACTCCTATTCCCAGTCTTTCCCCTGGCCCTCACCGGCAATCTGCCTCAGCTCCTCCTTGCTCAGCTCTCCAGCTCCCAACTCATCATCCTCACTCTTACTCATCTTCACAATTCGATGAGCTTCCAGGTAAGTTTCCGAGAGTAAACCCTTGGGCAGGAAAATGCCAGGATACGAATAAAGTCTCTTTAATATGCCCATCCACACATTCCCTCAGGAGTTCCTGACAAAAACTTTCTATTCCATCTCGTTTGCTATTTTGTTAATAGTTTCCTCTGTAGGAGAGAGTAAGGTAGAAATGAGAACACTTCAAACACCATTTCTTACCTGTACAAGCTGTCGGAACCCAGTGCGTAAAATTGGCAAGAAGATACCAGTGACACTGACATGGTCACCGGGATGCGCAATCCTTGTGTTCTCTCCTTCTACCAGCACTGTGATGCTACGAGGGATGTTTCCCACAGGCACTTGGTCACTCTACGGGACAAGCAGTATGTGAGGCATAGAGAGAAGAACCCAAGCCCATGAGGACCTACCCTTCCCTCCTGGGGCATACCACTCTCTTTTGCTCAGCCTGCCCAGTCTCAGGTAAGCTTACACGAGGGGGAAAACTCATCTCCTCTACTTCTTCCCAACTCAGAAAATCCCAGTTAAACTTCCCTCCTACTCAAGGTAATGTCCCTTTCTTAGCTCTTTCCTTCTTTTCTTTTCTCCGCTATGTAACAAGATGAAACGGACTCCCAAGTGCCAACTTCCCTGGGCCTCATATCCCAAACTCACATGTTCTTGCATTTTCATTTCCTGGAATTTGATGAATTTGGAGCCACGTGTCTGCAGATAGAGCCGCCCTCCTGAGCGGTTCGTCTGGCACTCTTGGCTTGGGCACATGATCAGAGGCATGAAAGTGGGAGACTGGATCTAGGGTGTAGGAAATGAGGTATCCAAAGCAATGAGATAGAAACCCATCAGAGTCGGTCATTATATTTTCTCTTCACGACAAATACCAAAGAATTGTCAACATCTTGAACTATTCTGGATCAATGACGACAGGCACCAAGAACACAAGATGAAAGACCACTGACAAGTCAGAATGAAAGATGAGCGAACACACAGGCACGCTCTATAACATAAAAAAATGACAGGTAAACATTAGACAAAGTACTTAACAGAAACCACTAGTGGTTAACTATGTTCCTGATCCTTGTGCTTACGTACCGGCTGGTAAGTCTCTGCCCCACACTGGTCACAAGTGTAAGTGGCCACCACCATTCTGGGTTTGACTTCAGAGACTCGAGTGACAATTCCACGCACAGTCACCAATTTCCCCACAGAGTCAGCCCGTACTTCCCGAATCACATGAGGCTTGCTACTGCTTGGGCCTTGAAAGTACAGCTCACTGAGAGGAGAAAATAGTCACTGATAAGGTTCCAGGGGAAAATCCCCACACTGTCCCCACTGAGACCACTCACAATCTCCGCATAAGCTCAGGAGGGTACTGGTTTTGTGGGCTTCGGGCGGCCCCAGGGTCCCGGCTCCGCTGTTCCATCATCAGCCGGTGCTCAATGTAGACATCTAGGACATCTTTATTTACCACCTAAATGAAGAATAGGAAAAATGAGTGGCAGGATGGGGAATGGAGAGAGCCCAGAGGGCATGAGGCAGAAATCAAAACTCCCCTTTCGCTAGCTAAGGAAACATTAGTGTCTGAGCAGCTTTTTGACAGATATCTAAGTTCCTTCCCTGCCCTGCTTTTTCCTGCAACCACTCACCTCCCTCTCCTTGTACTGAGGCAGCAGCTCTTGCACAACATCTGCAAAGAGCCTTGCATAGCGCTTAGCATTCTCACAAATAGAGTCCACCAACTCAGGATCATCCTCAGCAATGTCATCCAGGTCTATGTACATTGCCACCTGCTCCCGATGAGCCAGCTGAACCTGGGGTGGGGAAGAGACAGCAACATCAGAGCCAGATTTACTGTGCACACCAGTATTTGTTCAGCGGTACCCATCACCATGAGCTCAGCACACTCCTTCTAGATCTCCACAGCGGAGAGCGCAGCTGAGACAGAGCAATACTCAACATCTCAGCCCCCAAACACCTAAGCCAGAACATCTCTCAGAACTCCTTGTGTAACCACCCCTGCCCTCCACTTAAAACTTACCAACTGGTTTCCATACTTGAACTGCTTCTTGCCAAATTCCTCATCCTGGTAAAACTCTTGTATGAACTTCTTCACCTTTTCTATGAGGAAAAGGTAAAATCATGAGAATCAACTTTCCTTTCTTTCAGACACCTCACTGCAAACCCCTCTGATAGAAATCTAAGAAACCCACTTTCACTTAACACAAAAACCTAAGAACTAATTAATTCTAAGTAAAGTAGTCTCCCCAAACTGGGCAGAACTTCTTTTCTCGAGTCAGCTTTCATCTAGGAAAGAATGATGGGCCCCCGGCAGTTAAGAGTATTACCCAACACCCCGCCCCCCCGCAAAGGAATTCCAGTCTTTGCCTTAGTTAAAATTCCCAGTACGCTTTCCCAGTTGCCTTCTACACACCAGGCAACACGAGTGCGTTCAGTCTCCGTCTTTTCCCCGCGCGTGAAGAGGTCCCCTTTTCTTTTGGTCCCCAAATCTCTGCCCTCTCTGGGATCTCGGCCACACGGCCGGTCCCCAACCCACCCCCTCTCCCGCCACTGCTTCCGCTCTTAGTAAACAAAGAAGCACATGGGCCCAGATGCCGCCGCCTCACTGCCCGGGATTCCTCCGCCCAAGGCGGGAGCCCATCCCGCGATTGGCCGGCTCGCGCAGAGCCACTCCGTCCCAGCCCACTACCTCCTCTCGCGGGCTCACGCTAAACCGCCCCATCCCAGGCACGCCCCCGACCTCAGCAGCTCTCTCGGAGGCCACCGCGCGGAAGGACACTGTTTACACACGACACTCCCTCCCGCGACGTCGCGCAACTTCCGCCCGCCTTCACTTCCGCTTGGAGGCTGGCCTAAAATGGCCAATCCCGGCGCGCAGCGGCCCGAGCCTGCCCGCCCCCCGGGCTTCGGCGCGTCTCCGAGGGACGCGAGCGCTCCGAGTGCCGAGGAGGGGAGAGGGGAGCCGGCTCGTGGGCCCCCTCCCCGAGGCCGCGAGGCCCTTCCGCGGCGACCCCGATGCCCAGGTGTCTCCCGGGCACGACTCCCGCTCTGGAGTCCCCAGCAGGCGGTCCGCCGCCCACCACGATCACCAGTCCTAACCCGCACAAGAGAATGAGATCGCCGACATGGACGACTCGCGCGCCCGCCCAGGCACCGTCCACCTCAGACCCGCCGCCTCCTTCCCCTGGCCTGGCGCCCCGCGAGCCCCGCTCTGGCCCCCCACGACTCCGGCTCCCATCAACAGGTGTTAGCTGGGAGGCTTCCTGCGCAGGACCCCCTCCCGGGGCGGCAGGCCCTCACCTTTCTCGAGCGCATAATCCTTAAGGGCCATCGCTACCGAGGGCCGCGCGGCAGCAGTTGGCGGGCTCAGGACGGCGGGTCCCAGGGAAGTAAGAACGTCCGCGCGGCGGACGGCGGCCGACCAACCGAAATTGGCGCGAAACGTCGCGCCCCACGTGACCGGCGGCGCTGCGTGCGGGCCAATCGGATAGGAGGCCCTGCGCCCCGCCCGCTCGCGGCGGGCCCCGGCCTCGACCAATCGCCGGGCGAGCCTGGGCTGAGTGACGGGGAAGCAGCTGGGCGAGGCGGGGCGGGCGCCGGTTTCCCGCGGTCGGAGCTGGCGCGGGCGGAGGCGAATAGCTCTTAAAGGGCCAGCCCACGCTCGTCCTTTTGTTCCGGGGCCGCAGGGCGGGGCAGGCCCAACTTTCGGTGTCTCCCAGTCTGCTCTCCCGAACGGCCATGATTTCCCAGTTTTTCATTCTCTCCTCCAAGGGGGACCCGCTCATCTATAAGGACTGTATCCTTCACCCGCGAGGCGGGATAGGAGTAGTGTCCCAGAGCCGGGCTGTGTGGCTAATTCCTTAGCTGTCCTTCCACCCGGTCAGTCCGCGGAGACAGTGGCGGCCGGGACGTGGCCGAGCTCTTCTACCGGAAGCTGATGGGACTGCCCGGAGACGAGTCTCCAGTTGTCATGGTAACCACTAGCCGGGGGAGGGGGGCCCGCCTGTAGCTTGGAGTGGGGGGAGCGCTTCCTTTCCCAGACCGCATCCCTTTGGAGGGTACTTTCCTCCAAACGTTAAGGAAAGTTTACCCCGCGCTACCCATGCACCAGGCACAGCTGTTGAGCCCCACGTCTCAATCCTCGGCTACTCTGGGGTAGGTTCTCTGGCTACACTTGCACCTTGGGAAACTGGGCCCTGAAGAGGTGTCACTGGTCACCCAAAGTCGCTTTTAGTAAGTAGGTTATGAGTAAAAGTCTCATGGGCCCCTAATCACTAAACTGTCTTCCTAATGCTGTCTCTCCTTCTGCCCCAGCACCACGATGACCGTCATTTTATTCATATCAGGCACAGCGGCCTCTATTTGGTGGCCACGACTTCTGAAAACATTTCTCCCTTCAGCCTCCTAGAGCTGCTCTCCCGGTGAGAAGGGCTGGGCTGGGCATTTGGCGAGGGGGTTTGGGAGGAGGAGTAAGGTTTACACATTTTGGTCCTGGTTCCCAGGCTGGCCACCCTCCTGGGCGACTACTGCGGCTCCCTGGGTGAGGGGACCATCTCCCGCAACGTGGCTCTTGTCTATGAACTCCTCGATGAAGTGCTGGTAAGGCCCATGGGTTCCTCATTGTTCCTCCTCACTGAAGATAAACCCCGTAGTTGAGAGGTTAAGTTCAGTGCTTTCACCCCTTTCCTCCACTGGTCAACTGCAGACAGTCCTTCCTTTGCCCATAGGACTATGGCTACGTACAGACCACGTCCACCGAGATGCTGAGGAACTTCATCCAGACAGAAGCTGTGGTCAGCAAGCCCTTCAGCCTCTTTGACCTCAGCAGCGTTGGCTTGGTCAGTGGAAGGGAAAGAAAAGGACAAGGAGGGGAGCTCCTGGGGAGGGTTGGCTGAGGGCATCAAACCTGAGGATGGGTTGCTTTGGGTGCTCTCCAGTTTGGGGCCGAGACACAACAGAGCAAAGTGGCACCCAGCAGTGCAGCAGGCCGCCCTGTCCTGTCCAGCCGCTCTGATCAGGTAAGGGAGGACTGATAGGGTGAGATCCTCTAATTTTTTTTCTGGAACCCCAGAATCCAAGAGCTTATGGTATCTTTCTCCCTCCCCTAGACATGAACATCCCTTCTTCCACCCATGTCCCAACACCAAGGCCCTAACCTCCACTGCCCTGTCCTTTCTGCCTGCCACCTTGGAACATAGGCCATTCTACCTTCAACCACCCCAATCCCTTCTTTTTCAGAGCCAAAAGAACGAAGTATTTTTGGATGTAGTGGAGAGGCTGTCTGTACTGATAGCATCTAATGTAAGTCTGGACCCCAGCCCTGAGACTGAGGATAGCTGGTACTTGGGGAACGTGGTTGGGGAGGTAACCTTTGGATGTTAACCTCTCTGCACTCCCAGGGCTCACTGCTGAAGGTGGATGTGCAGGGAGAGCTCCGACTCAAGAGCTTTCTTCCCAGCGGCTCTGGTGAGAAGTCTGCAGGCTAGAGCCAGCATGGGGGTTGGGACAGGCCCCAGGGGGTGTTTGGAGGTCTTTTCTCATACTTTTTTTTCTGACAGAGATACGCATTGGTTTGACAGAAGAATTTTGTGTGGGGAAGTCAGAATTGAGAGGTGAGGAGTGGGTCTTTCTTTACTTGGTTACTCCCTAAGGTTTCATGGAGAGAAGTTAGATGCCTCTGCTCCTCTCCCCTCCCCACTTCTCTCCCAAAATGATTAGAATTTTTTCTTCCCAGGTTATGGACCAGGAATTCGGGTGGATGAGGTCTCATTTCACAGCTCCGTACATTTGGAGGAGTTTGAATCTCATCGAATTCTCCGCTTGCAGCCACCTCAGGGCGAGGTCAGAATCAGGGGCCTAGCATGTCCCATCTTCCATGGGGGGCTTTATTCCAGATGGGAGACCACACTGACCTCCATTCCCCTCTGGTCTCAGCTCACTGTGATGCGGTACCAACTCTCAGATGACCTCCCTTCCCCACTCCCTTTCCGGCTCTTTCCCTCTGTGCAGTGGGACCGAGGCTCAGGCAGGTGAGGACATACCTTCTGTTCTAGAATTTTTCTGGAAACTAAGCCAAGGTGGTTCCTGGACTATGGAGGGAATAGTGGTAATAGTGGCAATAAGGTACAAATTAGGAAAGGCATCCTCACCCACAGTGAACTAACCCCATGAACTCAAGGGTTGGCTAGTGGAGTTGACCAGATATCAGACCTGCTCTTGCTTTCTTGGGGCACAGCCTACATAGCAGTGTGTGGAGGCCCGGGTGGGGAATGGTGAAACACCTGTAGGATATGGCCTGAGTCACGGTATTTGACCTTCTTATCTAGGCTCCAGATTTATCTGAAGTTACGATGTGACCTGCCCCCAAAAAGGTAAGAGTGGGGGTAGCTGAGCTCAGCCATGTGGGACAGACATAGAGCCAAGATACCTGCTGCCTGCACTACCCACCAGCCTTAGAATCCAATTAGAAGCTGTAGACTTCGGGAAGGGAGGGGGTGGCCACTTGTGCCTGATTCCAGTTATGATGTGAAGAGTGGAGACAATTCACCGCCTCCCTGGGGATGACTGTTCCTTTCTTTACAGCCAGGCTCTCAATGTCAGGCTGCATCTTCCCCTGCCAAGAGGGGTGGTCAGGTTAGTGTGTGCAATGTGGGATTCCAGTGGTTTCACAGCGCCCTGGGCAATAGGGTGGCACTGGGAAGGAGAGGAAACTGTGGGTGGAACCAGCCTGTCCTTGAGGAAGGCACAGTCTAAGCTCAGCACCTTTCCTCTCCAAATCCCAGCCTGTCTCAGGAGCTGAGCAGTCCAGAGCAGAAGGCAGAGCTTGGGGAGGGAGCCCTTCGCTGGGACCTGCCGCGGGTGCAAGGAGGCTCTCAGCTCTCTGGCCTTTTCCAGGTATCAGCTGTTGGGCCTCCACATCCTCTCCTCCTACCCCCACTTCCAGCCCCTGACCCATTCTTCCTAATGCACTTGCTGACCCCCAGCACCGTCAGCTTCCTGGTGCCTTGGCTTCCCTGCCCACTTCGATCTCAGTGCCTTCAGCACCTCTCTTCTTGCTTCTGTTCCTCACAGATGGATGTCCCGGGCCCTCCTGGGCCGCCTGGCCAAGGGCCTTCCACTTCCACTCCTCCTCTGGGGCTGGGCCCTGCAAGCCTCTCCTTTGAGCTTCCGCGGCATACATGCTCCGGCCTCCAGGTGCGCTTCCTCAGGCTTTCATTCAGACCCTGCGGCAACACCAACCCTCACAAGTGGGTGCGACACCTAAGCCACAGTGATGCTTATGTCATTCGGATCTGAGGCTTTCAAAACGAGGACACAGGGCATCAAATGACGTTGTCATTTCCAACGTTTTGGCCCCAGCCAGAGTCCTGAGTCCTAGGGCCCAGGAAGGCTCCACAATTCAACTCTCCTGTGATACCTGACACAGGAAGGACTGAGGTAGATCAGAACTTACAAATCAAACTTTTATTCTGAGAACTTGCTGTACAATATCTAAAAAGAAAGTGATGTGAGGAAGCAGATCACTATTTCCATCCACGCAGCACACACACGCACGTGTGTATAAGACACACCAGCAGAGAAAGTCGACGTGTGGCAGCATCAAGGTGCAGGCTGAGGGGAGCCAGGTCCAGCGGGCTGGGAACCATTAGCTTTTGGAGTCCCTGGAGCTGGAGGAGAGCTATCCCCAGTTTCTAGTTTTCCCCCACAGAGGGTACTGCCCCCAAGAGGGGAAGGTGCTGAGGACTGGGGAGGAGCTGGAGAAGGATGAGAGGTGGGGCCTCCTTTGCCCTCCCCAGCTGTGGGGAGAGAGACCACAATGTACTTCTGGACACTACCCGGCCCAGAGGGAGCAGTGCTAGGGGGTGCGGTTGTGGCGGTGGAGACCAGCTTGACGATGGGCTGCACGCTGGGGACTGTGGTGGTGACAGGGGACGTGGTGGTAGAGCCTGAGCCAGGGGCCGAGGTGCTGAGGGACAGGACCTGGTGAAGAAAGGAAAAGCATTGCCAGCTGCCCTGCGTCCTCCCAGGCTCCAACTGAATACTGAGCCCTGCCTTTGTCAGGAGCCTCAGAGCCTTGTGAGGATGAGCAGCCAGAGCTTCATGGGCCCCTGGGAAGTGCCCCTTCCAGTTCCAGGTGGGGACTAGGCTTTCCTCTGCATTCATGCATGTGCATCAACACACCTGCTCTGAGGGAACCTCTCTGCCCCTTGCCGTACAGCTTGACTTACCTGTTGGGTGGATGAGGCACTGGAGGAGGACATTACAATGAACTTGGTTGGAGGAGGGGAAGGCTGAGGTGGGGCAGAAGCTCGTGTAGACACCAGTGTCTGGACGGGCAGTGTGATGGAGCCAGGGACCTTCAGCAAGCCAGGGGTCCGAGGGCCAGGCTGAGGGGCCTGTGAGAGGGTCAGTGTGGGCCGTGGCTGCAGGAAGGCGAGGCAAGAAGAAAATGTCAACATCTAAGAAAAAGAGGGACTCCTCCTGCCCCTCCTCAGCAGGTCTTAGGGGCAGCAGCATCTTTACTAAAGGAGCCTAGATCCCCCAGACTGCTGACCTCAAAGGCCCTGCCCCACCCCTCACAGTTACTCATTTCATCTCCTCTCCCTCCCACAATGTTGCTGACCTGAGTGATGGTCAGTGTGGTCCTGTTGACCTGCTGAGCCTGCAGAGCAGCCTGGGCTCGGGCCTTGACCACATGGGAACAGAGGAGGGGACCAAGAGACCCAAATTCTGCCCGATAGGCATCCTGATTGTCAGGTGGTGGGCGAAGCTTTACAAAAACAGGGGCACAGTGCTTCTGCAGAGAATGCAAAGAAGAGCCAGTTAGAGGACGAGCTGGGACTCAGAAGTGTGATGGGGAAGGGGTGAGAAAAGAGGCTGCCCATTCAGTATGTTTGGGGTAGCCTGTTGTTTCAGTGGGACCCATTAGGGGCCAAACTGTCCAATAGTGGGGTTATGAGGAATGTGGTGGTTTTTCTTCATGTGAAAACCCAGGTACCAAGTGTACATGGAGAGCCTTTTGAATACACTAGAAATATCAAAGGGGGGCAGCGGGGCCCTCAGGTGTGTCACACAGTGCTGCAACACTGAGGACAGTGAGTCTAGAAGTCATGGTAGAGAGTTAAGTCCTCTTATTTCTTAATTACCCGTCTGTGTCTTAGTCTTTCTGTGAAACAGTTGGTGTGAGGTATGCTCTGAATGTATGAGGCAAGAGTGGCACATGAATTAAAGATACCACGTGCTTGCTAAACCTTGTCCCTGTGTGTGTGGGGGAGGGTTCGGGAGTGAGGGGGAAGAAGGCAGGGGAGGGAGCTTTGGTCACCAGGAGAAGACTCTGCACATGGTCAGCTCCTATGCGGTCGATGTTGCTTAGCACTGGGCCATCCAGCACACTGCGGATCCGCTCCCCCTCCTGCTGCAACCGTGGCAGGATCAGAGTCTTAATTACCTGTGGAAAAAGAAGGGGAGAAGCCGGGGCCTGGGGTCACTACACAGTCTCCTGGATGGGGGAGTGTTGCCCTCTGACTTCAGAATGCTCCCCCTCCCCCAGTGCTTCCCAGGGGTCTAACGTCATGTCCCAGCTCTGCCAGGCCTGCGATGGAGCCATAACGTGTTGTCCATGGAGTCTTTTCATCCACCCAGCTCTGTGAGGAGAAGGAAAGAAAGCCTAGTGAGGGGGTGTGACAGGCCAATCAGTGGAAACCCAGATCCCTGATACACATTCTTTGTAAATCATGAAGACATTACAGATGCAGCTCAAGTTCTAGCCCCAGTCCCTCTGTCCTTTTCCCCTTGTTCTCAGTATCATTTCCTGCAGCCACAACTGACCCACACCTGGTATGGGTGAAGCCCTCAAGAGGTGTAAGGAAGTTGTTCTGGTGACCACAGGAGTAGGTGTGTAGAACATTTCTCCTCACTGCTCACCTTGGTGAAGGTCTTGGTGATCCGGGACTGGATGTTGTTAGTGGTTGTACTGAAATGCTTGCAGATCTGGGCCACCAGGCGGGCGGCAAAGTCACGGAGTGCCCAGTGATTGTCCACATCTGGCCGCAGGCATAGCTGTCTGCTCACAATGCAGGTCATAACGGCTGGAATCAATTCATGCACCTAAGGGAGAAGCAGTGGGTCAGGTTAATTCTCACAAATGGCTTCCTGGTGGCAGTACAGCCTCTGGACCTGGGATGAGGGTGGACCACTCACATATTTTTCTAGATAGAGCGTAGGGTTATCCATCAGCGCCTTCACCATGCGCATCAGGTAGATGAGCAGGGCCAAGTTGTTTTGCACCACATTCACGCGGACCTATTGGGCGGGAGAATTAACAGGCCGTGAGAGCCCTCAGGTGATCCCTCCCGTGCCACCACCTCACCACCCCCCAAATTCTGGCCTTCCTGAATCCTCTCACCCCCTCAGAGATGAAGGTGCTGAATCGGGGCAGCATCTGATAGAGCCCAGGGTCCGTTGCAATGCTCTGCAGAGCTTCCTGTGGGAGAGGAGCCAGTGACATAGTAGACAGGGTAGAAGAGGTTCATGAGGTCTCCAAAAGAAGGAATCTCTGGGTAAAGGCAGGGAGGTGGGGCCTCACCGCTCTCTTGGCCTCACATGACCCCACACAGGCTTCAGTGATCTCCTTGTAGTACAGTTGCTGCTCCACCGACAATTCATGGATACTTCGAGGCTTCAGTCGCAAAGGCGCCCCCTCTAGCAGGGGTGGTGCCTTCTTTTCTTTCCCTGTGTGAATTGGGAAGATGGGTTTGCAAAAGCCCTACTAGAGGCCTTAGCGCCATACCCTGACCCTCCGCTACCCCACCCAAGGACAAGAAACTTCTTTCAGATTTCTTGATTCTTTCTGCGGCTCTCTGCCTGATGCCCTGCCCCTTGTCCTGGTTGTCTCACTTCACAAATGGCCATTGGGCTTTGAGCCAAGAGCCAGGAGAGCCCTGGCCTAGCAGTACTGACCTTTGCCATCAGCTGGAGCAGCCCCTTGACCTTTGCCTTTCAAGGGTCCATCTTCTTCCTGGCCTGGCTTTGCTGACTTCAGGGGCTCTGTGGCTTCAGCCTTTTGCTGCTCTTTGGGAGCTGATGGGAAAGGAGTCATGCAGGGGTCAGGGGAGTGGCAGGAGATGTAAGTAAGTAAGTCAGAGTGAGGTGTGTTCTGGGCTTGGAGCAGGTTACCTGGGGGTGGGTTCTCAGGTATAGCTGGCTGGCAGCCTTCAATGCTCAACCAGTGAGCTGTGAGGAAGGAAAGTGCCAAGTTGAGGTGCTGCACATGGACACTATGGAGTCACTCCATACTAAGGAATGTGTTTTCATTTCTATGCCCTTTTCCTGCAACTCACCAGGGGTCTCACACTGAGGCGTTCTTCACTCATGAGTTTCCTCAGACCCATATGCAATGCTCCTCCTCTCCCTCCTCCCTGCCACCCTGCTCTCCCCTCCCCCAACCTTTGAGGCAGACGTCCAGGGGCACCCTGGGCAGAGGGGTATTGATGATGTCGCTCAGATCAACCTCCTTCTCCTCGTAGAAGTAAAGTTCCCGGCCCCCACCAGAGGCGAAACGGAAAGGTATGAACTCCTGAGCGTGGAAGCCATAGAGCGGCTATATCAGGAGAGAGAGACACCGGGATGAGAAGGGAGGCCCCCGGAGATATGGCTGAAGGCAAATGCAGCATCTGGGAGGACCCCCGTCTCAGTCCTGTGTGTCCCCATCACCTCAACATTCTTTAGCTTTAGCGCGTAGTCAATGTCACTGGTGGTAAGCTTCTGCCGCTTCCCCATGTGCATGAACTTCAAGGCATCCTGGCAGGGGGGAGGACAGACATCAGCCTGAGACCCTGAGGAAGAAGGCAGCTGGGCCAGCACCCTCGGTACAGCACAGGGCTGGGCAGAGGGGCCAGGTTACCTGTGCAATCTCCTTGATGCGGTAGCTGACCTCATCTGTCAGCAGCTGGCAGGTATCCTCCTGAATCTGGGCGATGCCCATTGACTCGGCCACCACCTTCATCGACTCGGAGGGCAGCACAGTATTACTGAGTTTCAGCTTCTTCTCCTCAGCCATTCTGCTGTCCCTCCTCCCCTTCCCTGAAGGATGATGCCCCAGGGTGGAGAGATGGAGTCCCTGGCAGGGGGATGGGGTGGGCAGAAGAGAGAAAAAGAAACATGAACCCCAAAGAAGAGGGCCCATCCCTCAGGAGAGGAGGCTGCAACAAAGGGAGGGCAGCAGAGATGTGAAGAGGGGGAAGGAGCTTGGGAGTATCTTCTGTCCATCCCCAAGTGAGTCAGCACCAGGGTAACAGAATGTTGCAGTCTGATCCAATTGCACACATTGGTTGAGCCCTGATCCTATGCCAGGCACTGCACCCATGAGGTAGAGTCCGCAATTTCAATCCCAGCCCTGGCTGTGTGACTTGGGCAAGTTCCTTAATTCTTCCCTGACTTGGGTTTTTTCCCTCTGTAAAGTGTAGTCAATATTTTTTTATTGTTATGCACATACCTCTCTCTCTTGTCCCTTCTTGAATCATTCATGCCTGACAGAAAGACAATGTTGATTAAATACAACTCCCCTAACCATCTGTTTAGCCACACAATTGAAAGTAGTGAGAAAAACAATTCTCACTTTAAATTCAGTCTGTGGTCACAAACTTCAACTGGGTCACAAACTTCAAATGGGCCCTTAGTGCAGCCGGATAATCATGCTATATCTCAGTGTCCTGCCTCTCTCTGTCCTGACACCTTTTCTCCTTCCTCACTTTCGGCCATCGGAAGACAGCTCCAGACTCCCACCAACATACCCACCTGCCAAGCAGTACTAACACCCACACACTCAACCATCCCCCCCAATACAGGAGAGTGTTTGGGACCTCACCAACTCAAGCACTAATTACTCCAGCATTCTCCCATCTCCCTCAACATCACTTTCTCAACCTGACAGGTCATTTCCATAAGGCTATAAAATGCAGTTATTTTTCCCATTTTCAAAAATCCAAATAGCGATATATACACATAAGGAAATACATAGCTCTAACAAGGGGATCTGACATATGCCACATACAACATGGATGATACTAGACACATTGTGCCAAGTGAACAAAGTCAGGCACAAAATGCCTCATACTGTATTGATTCCACTCGAGAGTGGTCAAATTCATAGGATCAGAATGTAAAATGGTGGCTGCTGGGGGCGGGAGGAAAGAGGAGTCATTGTTTAACAGGTACAGATTTTCATGTGGCCTTCCTGGTGGTGCAAGGGGTTAAGACGCAACCTATGAAGCTGTCCGCAGCCACTGAAGCATGAGTTCGATCCCAGGCCGGCCAGGGAGCAACCCACATGGTGCAGCAAACCTCTCCTGACTCACCAGCTGCTCCCCTCAGCAGTGTACTTTGGTCAATCTGCCTGTTCTGTTTCCCACTCTGTCTCTGGTGAATCTTCTCACCCCTCGCACCTCTGGCCTATACCTCAGCTCTTGTATGCATAAATAAATAAATCTTAAAAAAAAAAAAAAAGTACAGATTTTCAGTTCTGCAACATATACCAAATTCTGGAGGTAGATGGTGACTGACGATGGCTGCACAACAAAGTGAATGCACTTAAACATTTGAATTGTACACTTAAAAAGTTACTTAAGATGTTAAGTTTTATGTTGTGTACTTCACAATTTAAGGAATGTTTAAAACTTTCTCTACAAGCTGTGCCCTACTTTCCCTTGTTCCTCTTTGCCACAAAACTCCCTCAAAGAGTTCTGTTAACTTTTGAATTCCTCCCTTTCTGGCCTGAACTTATTCCATTCAGCTTTGACCCCGGTCGGTCCCTGAAGTGGCCCATCAAGATCACTGATGACTCCACATAGCCAAATCCAAGGTCCATGCTTGGTCCTCAACTTACTTGACCTCTCAGCGGAATATGGCATGGCTGATTACTTCCTTCTGAAAAGTTTCTTTACTTTCACACCACCTCCTAAGTTTTCCTCCTACCTGACCCATCACTCTCTTTTGGTTTCTTTTACTCCTTCTTATACGTCGTGTGGACTGAGATCTTTGTTATGTTCACATACATATTCCAGGACCTCAGACTGATGCCTGACACATTACATTCAGTAAACAGTTGTTGGAATAAATGAATGAATCCTAGGGGTTGGAGATGTTGGTACTCAATACATAGCCAGTATCATTATTACCAAGAGGAAAACAGATACAGATCTACGCTTGGGATCTACTCTGCAGGCAGAAAAAGGCTGACTCGTTTGACGTTAACATTGGGAAGATGAACGTCAACTATTTAGGTCCAACTGTGGGATGTATGGAGGGCCAAATAAGGGCGAGCTGGAGGTGTGGGAAGATGAAGGCCCCAAAAGAATTTGGTTCTTCTCAAACCATCTCCAAGTCTCCACCCACCAGTCTTATAAAAGTCTTTTATCTTCAGGGAACACATTTATTCAACATATACTCAGTGCAAGGGGTTAGGTATACATGTCCCACTTCCCTGGCGAACTCCTATTAATCCTTCAATACCCTGAGGTACCCTTGCCAGTAATGGCTCATAAAACATGCTACTGCCTCAGGAGCCTCTCAGGTCAGTGGGGCCGTCAGGAAGTCTTCAGAGAAGGGTAACTTGAGCTACATCTGCGTAGTCGTTTCCCAAGCAAGGAAGCGGGTCGAAGTCCCCAGGAAACGGGTGCCGCGCGAAAGAAGGCGCAGAAAGCCCACATCATTCCCCGAACATCTCTCTAATGCAAACATACACACACGGAGTCCCCGCGCGCAAGAACACACAACCAACCGTCTTCTTCTTGGTCCCCACACGGGCCATTCAAAGAGTCTAGTCTGGGCTACCACTCAAGCCCGCCCCCACAAGCCGAGACCCCGCGCAGAAAAAGTCTCTCACCGCCGCCAAAGCGCCGCTCACCCGGCGCTCGGCGCCATGTTGGCCCCGCCCCCTCCAGGGAATAGGTCCTGGCAGAGACGGAGAGCCAGCCCTGCCCCTTCCCCGAATTGGCCTAAGTCTCCTAGACTCAAAGCCTGGAACGATAAAAAATCACTGTTTTTGTGTCTATGTTTAAGGATCACGGCCTGCTGTTCTTATCACTTCGATTCACTCCTTTACCACGCGGCCAGGACCTTCGGGAGGCGCCACACAACCTAGGCGGGGAAGCCCGAAGCGCTACGAGGCCCCACCCACTTCGGGGTAGGCACTGCGCGTGCGCCTCCGGCACCAGTTTGGACTGAAGTTGCCGCCGAGCGCCTCGGAATTTAAAGGGGCCGCTGTGTTCCCTGAGTTAGCGTGAAGGCTAAGGGTGGTGGACAGCATTTTGTGATGGGACCTGTGCGGTTGGGAACGTTTGTTTTAATTTTGGCGGTGTACGGTGCTTGGGCTGGGACGCCGAAGGAGGAGGATGACACGGAACGCTTGCCCAGCAAATGCGAAGGTATCAGTAGGGATCAGCCTCCTATTCGCATCCCTCTGCCCCACCTCCCTCCTCTAGGCTGGACCCACAAGATGTGTGGTCGCTGGATTTCTTTGAAGATCTGAGGGAGGTTCTGGTGGAGCTTGGCAGAATTCTACAGTTTGAACGGGGTCAAGGGAGGGAACGTATAGTGCTACTCACCCCCCACCCCCAAACTATAGCACTACAATTCCCAGGAGACTTTCAGAGGGAGCCCGCTCTTTCTTGCTGACCTGGGCCCAAATGGTTTGTGGTAACTGTAGTTTAGAGACTATTTGCCCTGGACGACCAGCTCTACTGAGCATCGACCAGCTCTACTGAGCATGGGTGGAGTGTGTGTGTGTGTGTGTGTGTGTGTGTGTGTGTTCCCTTCCCCCAAGCCACCAGACCTAATCTGGAGAGTCTGCAGGGGCGGGGTGTGAGGCTCATACCTGTGGACATTCTGTGCTCCACCCCAGCGGAGACGCTCCCAAATTACAGGTCCCACGTCGTCCTGAGGGGTTTTGGGGGTGAGAAATCAACCCTTGAAGCTCATAAACGAAAGAAGCCACACAACTGGCAGAGGTTCCCCATCAGAGTGAGGCTTCGCAGAGGGTGTGAACTGGATGGAATTGAATTTACAGCGAACAGCATCTTTAGCTGTATTATGTGTGGGGCCCAACTGGGAAGGGCTCAGAGTTGGGCTTTGAGTCCTCTGGTTCCATAGTTTGTTGCCTTCCGGACTCAGTTTCTTCTGTTCCCCTTCACTTAACTCCACATTGCATTTCAGCATCAATGTTCCTCATGACTTGGTCCTAATTTCACCTCTCCTTTCACTTGTGTCCCCCTTTTTTTTTTTTTTAAATACAGTAGTCCTTGCTTCAACACCTCTTCAGGCCTCTTGCTGTGATCAGAATAGAGCCAACTTTTCTTGGGCAAAGCGTGTATGTCTCTATGTTGTGTCTACTCTTGTAGCCTCAGCCTTTCTTACATTTCCATACCCCAACTCCCATTCCAAAGTGTCCATACTTAAGCTACACTGAATTCTCACTGGTTATTGAGCCTGCCTGATCCTCTTGCACCTCTGTGACTTTGCATGTTGTTTCTCCCTTTGCCTGGAATAACCATCTCCCTTCTGCATTAGGTTCTTCAAGACCCAGTTTAAACATCACCTCCTTTGGAAGTCTTCCTTTTCTGTCACCTCCCACTATATTGTAAGCCCTTGGAGGGAAGGAAAGTCTCTGTGTATCTCAGGTCCTAGCACAGTGCCTGGCACATTTGTTACTTGCCCCGGTGTTTACTTAGCTTGGCCTGTCTATATAGGCCATTCCCTTTCTTGGGACCCACCGCATACCATCTCGTGAGCTAGGTGATGGAAAGACAGTAGTGGAAATTGCAGGCTAGTAGGAAGTCAATAAATGATCATTGAATGAATTTTGCATTTCTTAACACCTATTGGGTTCCATCACACCATACTGTCATCTTTTTATCCATCCCCAACTACATTTTCATATCCTGTGAATAGGGATTGCGGTTCTTAATGCCTTCTGTATTGCTCTTGTATATACAGAATGTGCTCAATAAATGAACAACAAACACACAGTGCTCTCTATGTGTCAGGCATTATTCTGGCGCTTCACTAGAGAGTCACTTCTTTTATCCCCATCACACCCTTGTAAAGGAGGTACTATTATTTACCTTTAGAGGTAAAGAGACCAAGGTGCAGCAGGCTAATCACACAGGTATGAAGTGGTTGAGTCAGGATTCCAATCCAGTCAGTCTGGCTCCAGTCTATACTTGTAAACATCATGCACTGCTGTCTTTGCTCATCTGCAGAATGAGTTGCTGGTATTTTTGTCTGTCTTTCACGTCCCCTTGGACATTTAGTGTGTAAGCTGCTGAGCCTGGAGCTTCAAGAAGAACTGAGTCGAACTGGCCGATCTCGAGAGGTGCTGGAGCTGGGGCAGGTGCTGGACACAGGCAAGAGGAAGAGACATGTCCCATATAGCGTTTCGTGAGTCTTTCTTGGTGCTCCTCCATGTTCTGACCCCTGAAGGAGCCCTGGCATCTCCTGCAGCATCCAGAGAGTCTTTGTTTTCTCTCTCCCCACAGAGAGACAAGGCTGGAAGAGGCCTTAGAGAATTTGTGTGAGAGGATCCTGGATTACAGCGTTCATGCTGAGCGCAAGGGCTCACTACGATATGCCAAGGTCAGAGTCTTCCCAATGCAGCACCCTACTTCTCAGAAATAACAACCTCTATCCCCCAGGGCCAGTTTCCCCAGCTGTGGAGTGTCCTCCCCAGCATTAGATTCTCTCATCTTACCCTCATGGTATTCACCACTGAGTCTCTAGGACTTGGCAAAGTTGCCATGGTGGAAAGGGGAAAGAAAAGGCAGTCAGTGGCTTGGACTGATTCCAAATTTCCATTTCTCAGGGCCAGAGTCAGACCATGACAACGCTGAGAGGCCTGGTGCAGAAAGGGGTGAAGGTAGATTTGGGGATTCCTCTGGAGCTGTGGGACGAGCCAAGTGTGGAAGTGACTTTCCTCAAGAAGCAGGTAGGATGGGATATTGCAATGCCCAGAGAGGTGAGAAGGGAACCTCAGAGGGAAGCTAGGGAGGTCCACCTCTGAGCAGGGACAAAAGGACAGAGTGAGAACTCTGCCATTGATTGAAGTGGCCCCAGGAGCATATCAAGAGATAATGATGGCAAATAATATCCACTGCCACTTAATGAGCACCTACTGTGTGCCAGATTCAGGGCCATATGCTTTCCAACTGCTGCTTCATATTACTCTCTCAATCTGAGTTAATAGGTACTATTAGCCACTTCCCATTTTACAGACAAGGAACTGAGAATCAAAGAGTTAAGTAACCTATTCAGTAGGGTAGGTGCCCGTTAAATGTTTGCTGAATGAATGAGGTTCACATGTCTAGTTAATCAAGTTTAACCTCTTGGGCTATCTGCCTCTCCAAGGTCAGTAAGGTGGGGTAGGGGAGACAGGAAGTGAAGAGTAGATTGGAAGGTTACCAAAGTTCAACAGAGCAGACACACTTCTGACCCTTCTGTTTGACCAGTGTGAGACAATGCTGGAGGAGTTTGAAGATGTCGTAGGGGACTGGTACTTCCACCATCAGGAAAAGTCCCTACAGCATTTTCTCTGTGAAGGTCATGTGCTCTCAACTGCTGAAGCTGGTAAGTGTGTGGGTTGGCCCCTTTCCAGCCAGGTTAAAAACTCCTTAACCTTAGGGTCAATATATAATTGTTTTCTACTATCCCATCTAGCATGTCTACAGGAAACTTGGACTGGAAAGGAGATTACCAATGGGCGACAGAAGACAGAAGAGGAAGAGCAAGATGGGGAGGAGGAGGAAGAAGAGGAGGAAAAGATGACCAACACACCAGGCCACCCCAAGCATGATCCAGAGGATCTTTGACTCTTGCCTTTGAGCCCCCAGGAAGGACAAAGGTCGTGGAGAAGAACCTTCAAGTCTGAGCTCTCCCTGTCCCAAAGCTTTAAGAGTGTGTGTGTGTGAGTGACCCCACCCCAGAGCTTATAGTTGTTCTCGCCCATCTGGTCTCAGGCAAGGCAGGTGGTACAGCTTGGCATGGCTGTGGGGAGAAAGGTGGGAGCAGCAGGTGGCCTGCCCCAACAGATGAGTCTTTTGCCTGCCATCTACCCCCTTGTCAGGTGTGTGTGATGACAGCTTTTCCCTTTAAATATCTCTAATACTCCCCACCCTACTCAGACATCAGTGATGGCATAGGCCATGTGGGCCTTGAGAAAGTCACTTTACCCCTCGGAGGTCTGTTTTTAGACCCTTACAAGGAAGAAGCCGCAATAGACATTATATATACACTACCTGCATCCAAGAGGTCACGTGCCAACAAACTGAACGGAATGGGGGAACTCTGGATGGGAATGGGGCCATGGTGATAAGTAAGGTCGAGTACATACTCGGTCTACTTCATACTAATTTCACAGGTGCCAAATTTTCTATGTATCTAGTAAACTTTTTCAGTACCAGCTGGGCCCCAAATTTCAAACTGTCGTGCACATAAGTGGTCGATGTGGGAGCAGAGAATAAGGGCCATTGGCCACCGCCCTATTAGAAGCTAAAGGAGCTTTATAATTTTGCAGCCCAAGTAAGCAGACAGGGATCATTCAATTCAAAACCAACTAGGCTTAGCTTTCTGTGGCCTCTGTCTGCGCATGCGGGAGAACGCGCCAAATGCACTACGCGCTCCACTTGGGCCACCATACTTTGGGCCTACGGGAGCGCGCAGAGGCCACAATTCCTTGCAAGCGCTTCCGCTCTCTGGTCTTTCCTCGGAGTGAGGCGAAACCCAAGAGAAGCGATAAACCTAGATCACAACAACCTAGTGGACAACAGTTGTGGTGAGAGTGAGGAAATACAGGGATAGCCTTTGGAAGGTGATGGGACCCACCGAGCGAGACGAGTGGGGCGGGGACTGCAGACGTGGAGGGAGGGCGGGGTTGCGCGAACGGAACTTCGGGAGATACCATCTTCGAAGGGGAGTAGAGGGCGATACCACCTTAAGGGTGGGGAGGCTTGACAAACAGAATTTTTTTTTTTTTTTTTTTTGCAAACAGATTTGGAAGGGGCCGTTTGGCGGGTACCGAGCGTTTGTGGGAACCCAGAGGGACTGGACCTCGCCCACCGCCCCACTTCCTTTCCCTGGTCCGTCTCTTTCCGGCCATGAGCAGCCTCGTGAGGACCGAGCCGCTGCGCGGGGAGCCCCCTCTGCTGGTGCCGGGCGACCCCTACTCGGTGGTGGTTCTGCTGCGGGGCTACGCGGAGCCTGAGGGGGTCGGTGACGCCGTGCGTGCCGACGGCTCCGTGACCCTGGTCTTGCCCCAAGCTTGGGGCCGGACCCCCAGCTCTCCAGAACCGCCTCCCTGGAGTGGAGATGCAAAGACCGCCCTGGAGGAGGCGGCCCGCGGCCCCATCCTCGTGGACACCGGGGGCCCCTGGGCTCGGGAAGCACTTCTGGGGGCCCTGGCCGGGCAGGGCGTGGCCCCGGGGGACGTGACTCTGGTGGTGGGGACCCACGGACACTCGGATCATATCGGGAACCTGGGGCTGTTCCCCGGGGCGGCCCTGTTGGTGTCGCACGATTTTTGTCTTCCCGGAGGTCGCTACCTTCCTCATGGCTTAGGAGAGGAGCGGCCGCTGAGCCTGGGGCCGGGACTGGAGGTGTGGGCCACACCAGGCCATGGGGGCCAGCGGGATGTGAGCGTAGTGGTGACGGGCACGGCTCTGGGCACCGTGGTGGTGGTGGGCGATGTCTTTGAAAGTGATGGGGACGAGGACTCGTGGCAGGCGCTGAGCGAAGACCCCGTGGCCCAGGAGAGAAGCCGAAAGAAGATCCTAGGCACTGCTGATGTGGTCGTGCCTGGACATGGAGCTCCCTTTAGGCTGGTCAGGAAAGCCTCGCAGCCTGAGACTCTGGGAAACGGACAGCTGAATCCTGTAGTGGGCGAAAAGGAGCCACGGTGCACCCATAAGCCCTGGAAAAAGCTGGACGTAGCACAGTGCTCTTTCCCCTGCTGACACCAGTAGCACTGTTTCAGCCAAACTCTGACTAAGTCCTTTGGCCAGCTTTGTGCTGCTGCTGTGGTCTTCATTAGAATAATGGAAGGGTCCCCAAAATAAAGCTAGGAAACTACTGAAAAATCATACTGCCCTGATGTGAATGTAAAACATTAACAATGATCATGCAAATGAAGTCAGCAATTACAAGGCAACACTTGCCTGTTTCTCAAAGGGTGCAGGTTGCTAAGAGTGAAGGTGCAGAGCATAGAAGCAACACCTTAGCTGACATTCATTCATTCCTTCATTCATTCAACGAATAATTGACACCTGCAATATCTCAGCACTGTTCTAGGTTGTGGGACTATAAGGCTGAGCTCTCAGATTATATCCTACTAAGGAGATAGACAAAGGGGAGGGAATTGTAGCAGAAGGTTTTTCTCTCAGGTCCTTAGTGGTCTTCAGCGCATGCTGGCTTCTGAGCCCTGTGTGTCTGGCTGGAGTTATGGGAAGCCGTGATCCTTCTGTGCAGCTTACTCCAGGGAGGTCATTCAGTCCCACTCCTTAGGCCTTTAAGGTGGAGTATAGGATCACCTCCTGGGGGCTCCGGTTGGAAGGTGTTGCTGGTGAGATTGAACTGGAGAGGGTGAGGGAGGCATAGAAGATTCATCTAGAGTAAGAACTGAGAGGGAGATTAGTCAATGGAGGGGGGGAGGGCTGTCCCTTCCCTAGAGCAGACACCACACCTAGGCGTCCTGTCCAAACCACAGTCCCTCAACTTCCCACCCAGCTGTCTCCAGACTCCCCTTTCATGCTTTCAGGCCCTAGTCTGCTACTTACCTTGGGGTCCAGCTTGGGGTCTCTACGTTGTCCTAGGGAAAAATCAAAGTGTGCCAGGTCAGTGGCATGCCAGCCGAGGTAGAAAAGTGGACAGGGACTCCTGTGGTGAGGTCATCTGCTAGGTCAGGACCGGGGTCACATGAGGGTGTGTGGGGAAGAAGGAAGGGCCAAGACTGAGGGGGGAGTGATGAGGAAGGGACTTAACTTTATGCCCAGTGTTCTCGTATTTCTCCTCACTGTTTTGGAAGGATCCCCTGCTTGGGACCAAGAGGGCGGGAAATGTGTTAGAGGCCAGACACAAAAGAATGAAAACTTGACCAGTTAGGAGCCATTTAAGGTAGTAGACGGGCAAATAGAGCTGTTCTCATGAGGAAACCTCCCGCTCCCCAAAGCAGCCCTGACGCCCTAGAGGACAGGCTCTCACCTGGCCGGGGTTATAACGCCAGCGCGCAGACCTGTGGGGAGACCAGCAGCGTGTCAGTGTGGCGCCCGCAGACACCCTCGTCCTGTCCTCTGTGCTGCTCTGCTGGGACCATCCTTGGAGAGGCCAGCAGTGAAGCAGCTCTGCCGACACCCATCTGGGAAGGGCCTGGGCTCGGAGCTGGCACCTGCTGGCACCCTGAGGCCACCCATCCCATCCTGCTCCTTTCCTCAACCACTGGTCAGGACACCCGCTCTTCTCTGGTGGGGCCCCCTCTCCCCGTCCTGCCTTGCTTCCTTCTCCCTCCGTTCAGTCCCTTCTGCTCCCTGGACCTCCACCCCTTCCTTCCGTCTGACCACCGGCACCCTGACAAACCAGCCTCTGGGCTTTCCTGCGGAGGGCGGCTCATTCCCTCTGCCATCTGTGGACCTCATGGCTGGAATCGGTGTTTGCACTGCAGTCCCTTCCTCGTCACCTCTGTCCTCTGCTGACACCCCTGTGGGGCCTGTGCCCTCTCCCTCCACCTCCTTCCTGAAGTGTCTCCGCAGTGTTTCCCAGGGACTCTGCCCCAGTTCACACACATCCCCGCCACCACCCAGCACCACCCTGGCGGTCTCGTCATTGTGAACATGAATATACAGACGCCCTGTTTAAATGAGGTCTAGAGGATAGAAAGAATATGTCCACACAGGGATCTGGTAGCTGCACAGCCAGCTCTAGGCACGAGCCTGCCTTGCATCTCTCCTGGAAGGTGACGCTATTTCTCCCCACCAATGGAAGTGAAGAGGAGGTTCTCTAGAGAGTATGTAGGGGGTCATTAGCCTTGGGTCCTGGGAAGTGTTCTTGGGTCTTGACATAAACACACTCTCTAATTTGCCATTTCTTTCTGTTGTTCCAACCCAATATGCTGTTGGACTGAGTTTTTATGTTTGAATTCAACATGATCTGTGGGGACGACCTTCTGAACACCCTGGACTTGCCCATCTCCCCCGATTCCAGAAACTTTCACTCAGACATATTATGGACTTAAAAAAAATCACGGAAATGAAGTACTCTGAAATATTAAATGTTAGTATCACTTTTATACTGTGACTTTACTTCTAGCTCTCTTCTGTCATTATCCTGCTATCCCTGTGCTCTGACCCACTGGAGTCTCGTGCCTTGATAATCTACTTTCTTCTGGTTCTCTGAGCTCCCTACTGCGCCCTCTACCTTCCATTGCGCCTTTTTCAGTAATTACTTGACCTTCACTGTTCCCCTGCCCTTCTGCCTCCCTTAGCTGACAAATTTCCAATCGTGGATGTCCGATGGCAGAGCAGGCTATTTGCTTATCCAATATCCATTCATTTCTTATCAGTTACAGAATCTAAATTTTATTTAGAGCAGCAGTGTGTTCCCCTGCAGATAGATGTGCGACATATCACTAAATTCTAGCCAATAAGATATAAGGAGAAGTTGTGAGTAGGACTTTCAGGGAGGTTCTTTAAAAGGATGATGGGTAGCTCGGCCTAGTCTTTTTGCCCTTTCCTCCTTGCTCCTATTTTCAGCCTGGACCTGGACCTTTCAGAAGTAATGGCTGGAATCAGCTGCCATCTTGAACCATGAGGTAATCTTCAGGACAGAAGCCAGTATCCAGGACAGAGAGCAGAAAGGCTAAATGTCAGGGACTGAAATTGCACTTTGGGACCCTCCTCTCTGGCTTACAGGCTGGAAGGAAGACCAAAGCCCCTGCATAGACTAGAGTCAGAACTGCCTGTTCCTGAAGAAGTCGTGCCAAGAAATCCATATGCCTGTGTGAGCACTGGGTTAGTAAGAGTTATGGAATTTTCCTAGTTGGCTCACGTCATCAGACATAGGTCACCTTGTCCAGTTTCTTGCTCACTAATAAAATCTGGATGAGCTAAGAATCATGTACATGACAAACTTTCATGTCCTTTATGCTATTATCCCAGACTCAAAAGAGTGGGTTCTTTGTCCTCTAGGGAGAGAATTCACCAGAGACTACTAGGGGTAACTGAACCAAGTGAGGCTTTATTAGAGAGACTTATGCATGGGGAAGCCAGTACAGGAAAGGGGAATTTGGCCTGGCTCCTTGAAAGGAGTTAGGATGAGAAATTTAAAGTGCAAGTCCATGAGGTGGGAAGGAGGAGAGCAGCATCGCAGCTTGCTCTGGGTTGGGCTATGAGCAAGCATGTGCAGAAGGGTTACATTCCAGCTGTGCATAGTGCTCTTAGCCTTATCAAGCATTTGCATCTCCATGATTCTTTCAGAATTAGGGAATTAGGGAAGTGACTAAGCTCCACCATTTACCTTCTTCTACATAGATGACCTCAATGTATCTTTACATTTTTAATGTCAGTAACTCACTGTTCCTACCTATACAAACTAAATTCAGACTTGTGTTTGTTGGAACAGTCCTCACAGAATAAAATCTGGGTTTGTTTTTTTTTTATTTCACAGAATAAAATCTGTTGGATCACTTCCTGGGTTCAAATCCCCACTCTTAATTTTTGAGTAAACTCACTTAACTTTGCTTGCCCCAATTTATTTAAGTCAACATTCTTCATCTCTGACCCTCATCCTCACTCTCAGGAGAGAACCACAACGGTTTCTGCTCTGCAGAATAAAAGAAAACCCTATTTGTATGTAGTTGAATTTATCAATATTTTTGTTAATGGCTTTGGTTTTTATGTTATATGTAGGAAGCTTATCTCCAATCCGTGGTTATAAAATACTCTCACATGCTTTCTTTAAGCATTAGGGCTATATTTTCCCTCATTTAAATCTTTGATCTCTGTGGAATTTATTTTGGTGCAAATTATAAGAAGAGAGATAACATTTTTTCTCAGATGATTATTCAATTGTTCCATCACTGTGTATCGGATTACTCATCTTTCCATATTGATTAAAAATACTACCTTTTAACCTATTAAATTCTGATATATATTTGGGGCTGCTTTCATCCTGCCTATATTTGGGGTTTTCTCTTTTTCCATTGGTTTACCTATTGCATGTTGTATGTTTATCTACATGCCAGTATTGTATCATTTTAACTATTGAAGTTTAATAATCATAGGTGTTAATGCTCATAGTGTTTACTCTGTGTCAGGATCTATTCAGTCATCATGAAAACTCCTGGGTAAGTGTTACTCCCATTTTACTGATGAGAAAATTGAAGCCCAGAGTAATAATATTATTGTACTAACTAACCTAAGTAGGTTGTGAAGCCAAAAGGAACCACTGTTTTCTGCAAAATGTGGTCTTTGACCTCTCATGTTCCTCAATCCAATCACAGTCTTCCAGGTTTCCCCTCTGAAACTCAAGAGATAGGAACTGGAAATATTCAAATTTATGGAGAGGGATTTGTCTACAGCAGTATTTCTCAAGCTTGATGAGGCACAATTATCGCTTGAGGAGACTTAGAAATGGAGATTCACAAGCCTAGACCTCAAGTCCAGCAGAATCTGTGTTTTTGTAAGGTAATAGAAATACTGAGTACCTGGTCACAGATGGCAACAAAGTTGTTAGCACTGAACAGGGGCTTGAACCCTTGGGTCATAAAAGTCTGATGCTTTACTGACTGCACACCCAGTCTCTATAGGATCTATGTTCTTAAGGGGACACCTGTGGTTGTTCGGATTCTGGTGAGTGTGAGAAATACCCAGTTGGGAAGGCTGGGGAGAGGGTGAGGAATCTGGACCACTTACCTTTGCTTTTCTTCCACCAGAGGTAGACAATCAGTCCCAAAATTGCAATTTTGAGCACAGAACCCACCAGTGCCACTTTAAATACAGCTTCTGAACGCAGGGACCCAGACGCACTGAGGTCAACTGTGGTAGTTGTGTTGTTGGCTGAGAAGACAAAAAAGAAGCAAATTCTCTCCTGAAGGAGTGCAGATTTCTGGGTAAAACACATATTTTTCTCTAGTTTGGGATTATTGGGAATAAGGGAAATCTCTGACACTCTTACAGAGGGAGGGAAAGAATAGGTAAGACACTGAAGATTTAGAATCCACATCACTCAGTTTAAATCCCAACTCTACAACTGGTGAATGGTGTGTCTTTGAATACCATTTCATCACCTACAAACAGAGGTAACTAAATCACAGAATTACAAATAATTTTTATTGTGGTAAAATATATAAGACATAAAATTTACCGTTTTAACTACACTTAAGTGTACAGTTCAAGTGGCATTAAGTATATTAACATTGTTGTAGAACCATCACCACTTCCATCTCCAGAACTTTCTCATCTTCCCAAACAGAAATTCTGTCCCTATTCAACAATAAATCCCCTTCCCCCACGACCAGTCTACTTTCTGTCTGTGAATTTGACTACCGTAAATACCTCATGTTTAAGGAGAATCATGTTTTTTTACAGGATTGTTGCAATAAGTGAGAAACATTTGCAAAGCACCTAGTGTATGCTGGAATGTGGGGTTTTTTTAAAAAAGATTTATTTATTCATGCATACAAGAACCAGGGTACAGGTCAGATGTGCACAAGGGTGAGAGGATTCATCAGAGACAGAGTGGGGAACAGAACAGGCAGACTGACTGAAATATACTGCTGAGGGGAGCAGCGGGTGTGACAGGAGAGGGCTGCCGCGCCTGGAATGTGGTTTTTTTTTTTTTTAAATGTTTGTTTGTTTTTTTTTAAAGATTTATTTATTTATACAAGCACTGGGTACAGTCAGAAGAGCGGGAGGGTGAGAAAGAATTCACCAGAGCCAGAGCGGGGAGCAGAGCAGGCAGAAGGACCGAAGCACACTGCTGAGGGGAGCAGCGGGCGGCAGAAGAGGTCTGCGTGCCATGTGGGACCCCCCTCCGGTGGCGGGGGAGCAGCCGGGGATCGAACCGGCACTGCAGAGGCTGCAGGCAGCTTTGCAACCCAGCGCTCAACCGCTGCACCACTAGGGAGGCCCCTGGAATGTGTTTTTAAGGCTAAATTAATATACATTGATCTTTAGATTCTATTAATTGCATCTTCTTTAAATGTATCATTAAAATTTTGACCAAATATTCAGTCAAAGAAAAGAAAGATCCAATTGCAGTAAGATATTTAGGTTGGTATGAACCAAATTTACTGTCTACTTTTATGAGAAATTAATAATAAAAGTAAAAAATACTATCCTTGAAAGACAATTTTAAATATTTTTTAAAGATTTATTGATTTATGCATACAAGAGCTGGAGTGTAGGCCAGAGTGGGTAGGGTGTGCTGGGGGGGGGGGTTAGGATTCATCAGAGACAGAGTGAGGAGCAGGACGGGTGGAGCTACTGAAATACACTATTGAGGGGAGCAGTGGGGGAGACAGGAGAGGTCTGATGTGCCATGTGGGTCAGCTCCCTGCTGGGGAGGGAACTCATGGTGCAGTGGCTTGTGATAGCTTGATAGCACTGAGACTATTTTTTAACAAGATTTATCTATTTATGCATACAAAAAGTGGGGTATAGGCCAGAGGTACGTGAGGGTGAGAGGATTCACCAGAGACAGAGTAGGGAACAGAACAGGTAGATTGACTGAAAACACTGCTGAGGGTTGCAGTGGACAAGACAGGAGAGGTCTGCTACACCGTGTGGGTATCTCCCATGGCTGGGGATCGAACTGGTGTTGCAGAGGCTGCGGATAGCTTCATAGTGCCGTGCTTAACCCCTTGTGCCACCAGGGAGGCCCTTTATGAGTGATATTCACTGCAAATATTCCTTTAGTGTGATGTTTGCATGGTGGCACATCACTGGACTGAAAACATTTCTTATATGGCTTTTCTATGTTCCATGTGTTTTTTAAATAATGAGCATCACTATCCAGTTAATTTCTTTAATTGAAAATATTAATTTATTGGTAACAAAACTCACAGTAAATGTATCTGAAATGGAGAAATGAGAAAAGCAAGGAAGAATTAAGGAAGGAGGAAGAGGGATTTAAGGACAGTGAAAATCTCCCCCAAAAGGCCATCTTAGGAAATTTGGAAGACTGTAGGGAATATTAATACAAGGCTGTCTTGCTTAATTCAGGTGTGAGCCACATTCTTTGCTCTGAACCCAGGATGATGGTCACGATAAGGCAGTGGGGCCTCCCTGGTGGTGCAAGGGGTTGAGCACCACACTATGAAGCAATCCGCAGCCTCTGCAGCACGAGTTTGATCCCCGGCCAGCCAGAGAGAAACCCACATGGCATGGCAGATCTCTCCTGACTCTCCCGCTTCTCCCCTCAGCAGTGTATTTCAGTCAGTCTGCCTGTTCTGTTCCCCACTCTGTCTCTGGTGGATCCTCTCACCCCCCGCATCTCTGACCTGTACCCCAGCTCTTGTATGCATAAGTAAATAAATACTTTAAAAAAACAAAAAGATAGGGCAGTGGTTTACCCAGGGGAGGCAGGGACAGTGTCCCTCCTGGCCCCAGAGCAGAAATTCACCACCGCCATTGTTCAGAGCCACCAGCTCAAGTGATTAGAAAGAGACAGACTTAGTTTTCTAAATGATTGTCTGCAGACATTGTACCTCCTTTACCGCCTGCACCAGGGCGAGAAAGATAAACCAGGTTCAAGTTCTGACTTCCTACGGAGTCACATGGGAAGATCTATAAACGCAACACATCCCATCATCAGGTTAAAAACAAGTCAGCAGCATGGGCCTCCCTGGTGGTACAGCAGGTTGAATGCAGCTCTGTGAAGCTGTCCGCAGCCTTCACAGTGCAGGTTCAATTCCTGGCTGGCCAGGGAGATTCCCACATGGCGTGGCAGACCTCTCCTGTCACGCCCGCTGCTCCCCTCAGCAGTGCATTCCAGTCATCTGCCTGTTCTGCTCCCCACTCTGTTGCTGGTGAATCCTCTCACTCTCCAGTACCCCAGCTCTTGCATAAAAATAAATAAATCTTAAAAAAAAAAAAACCAAACAGGTCAGCAGCCTCGGCGGTGGGTGCCCAATCTGCAGGGCAGCTGGAACTCACCCATGGTGATGTTGAGTCTGGTCCCGCGGATGGACTGCCAGATACTCTTGCCATGGTTCCGTGTGTTCAACTGGACCCTGCAGAAGTACGTAGATTGATCCTCACTCCGCAGGTTCAAGATCTGGAGGGAGCCATTACTACAATCCTCTGCCCAGTGCAGGACCAGCCGCTTCTTGAAATCCTCATGGATGAAAAGTGGGGTTGTGTTATAGATGAACGCTCCGTGGAATTGTTTCCATCTCCAGAAAATCCTCACATCAGGAACCTCGGCCAGCTCCCAGGGGTGATGGAAGGAGAAGGGGATGTGAATGGAGCCACCCTCAGGGGCTGAGAGGTGCTCAGGTTGCTGGACCCAAAGGCTGTGCATTGAGTTGGATCCTGCTGAGCTACCTAGAGGAGGGAGGGGGAGAGACTTTGAACCCCCAGCAGAGACAAAAACAATAACCCCAGTGAGGCACCCTCCCCCAGGGCAGTGCTGTGACATGTGGTAGGAGTGGCCCTCTGGCTGGGGGTCCCTCTCCAGGCTGGAGGCAGAGGGAAGTGAGGGGTGGCTGGGCCGGGCACCATGGTCCTGCCCTCTGCCAATGGGGGTGGGCAGCAGACCCCTTGTCCAGTCTCCCACCAGAGCCCCTTCAGGATCTGTCCAATGGCCCTGGGGTCGGGGAGGGGGCAGAGCCAGGGAGCCTGACCACTCACCAGCCTGCAGGGGTGCTGGCAGCAGCAGCAGGGGCAGCAGCAGGGGCAGGCCCATGCCTTGCTCTGCTCCCAGGGGATGAGAAAACACTCAGCGCTGCCCAGGCCAGGCCTCTGGCATCAGAGGGTGAGGCTCAGGCTCCTTTGAGAACAGTGGGAGCAGAAGCTCCACCAGACTCACCCTGAAAATCACCAGCACTTCCCTGTTAATCTGGCTTCTTCTTTTCCTATATTGCAAAAGGGCTTCCTTTGTGGTCAGTGTAGAGAGAGCTTCATGTAGGCCCAGCCCCACCCCTACACTGAGAGCTGAAATTCTGACCTTGACCAGCTAGGCCCTCTCCCCTGCCTCCCTGCCTCTGCCAGGCCTCTGGGCATCACATTCAGCCCCCTGGACCTAGTGAGATGCCCAGGAAGCTAAGAGTTGTGAGGCATGATTTCTACTAGGAGATGTCTTGGCATGTGTCCCCTGATTTTGTCATCCTCCCTTCCCCCAACTGGAATGAGAGGGTTGGGTATCAACTGCAATCACAGAGGGGCCTTCTGGGAGGAGAAGGGTCTGAGGTTGTGTGATTCAAAGCTGGGCAGAGCCTAAATGCCACCCTTTTGCCCAGTGGCTTGCGAGGGGCCAGGGGACAGAAGCATTGTGATCAGGAGTAGAGCAGAGAGAGGTGATGACCTAAAGACAGATTTCCAGAACAACCGCCTTAGACTTTTCTCAAGTTCTCCCGAGCTTCCATTCTCCCTTCCTTATTGTCTAGGCCCACCGCTGCTCCAGTCCCTTGCCCTTCAATGGCACCTCACCCTGCTCCAGCTTTTCCCCCAAGATCAGGAGTAAGACAGACTTCAGTCTCTCTACCTCTGGCCATTGTGCTGGAGATTCTAGTCCATGCAGTGAGGCAAGACAAAGAAATGAAAGCATTCTAACTGTATTTTCTCGGTTTCTGTATTCTTGGTTCTCTGGCATCAAGAGAACATCAGGAGTGATGGCCAGCCAATTCTTAGAGTTAGCAAAGGGCTCTCCCCACCCCCACAAGTGTATAGGGCAGTCAGTGCTTTCTGAATGTCAGGAAAGTTTGGAGAGCCTTAAAGGTGGATGTCAGTGAAGATGATTCATGTCACTTTCCTGCAGTGGGGGTGTTATCTGTTACCTCATCCTGTCCTCATGCAGACTCTCTAAAGGAGGTACTGTTATTTCTCCATTGCACAGCTGAGAAGACTGAGGCTCAAAGAAGGCAGTTGCATGCCCCAACAGTGGACTCAAAGCCTCCCATCTGCTCTGTCATCTCCACACGTTTCATTGGTGCAACTGAGACCTCCTCACCTGTCAGCCGCCTTCCGTGCTCACACTAGTCATCCAAATTTAACAGTTGGTGCCAGCACTCCCCCTGCCTGTGGGGGGCCCCAGAGGTCATCAGGTTGATAGGCAAATTTAGAAGTAAAACTCATGAAATAATGTTGTTTTATGGGCATTTTACTAAATTCAAATTTTAGATAAGTTATGACTGACACATAAATTCTTCCTTTTCTTCTTTTTTTTTTAATTTTGGTTTTAGTAAACATCCACTTTGAAAAGCTGAGCATGTATTCATGAGTCTCAGCCTTAGGCGAAGATGGCTTTCGCTGATGAGAGGGAGAGGGAGAAAAAGAAAAAAACAAAACAAAACTGTGTGTGTGCGTGTGTGTGTGCTTGTGCGTGTGTGTGTGCTTGTGCGTGTGTGTGTGTGTGTGTGTGTCTGTGTGTGTGTGTCTTCCCAGAGCCCATGGACCAGCACCATTTGTGGAGTCTGAGAGTTTCTTAGAAATGTGGCCTCTCTGGCCCCAGTTCAGAACTACTGACCTGGAATTTACTTCTGTTTAATGAGATCTACAGGTGATTTGTATGCAAATGTAAAGTTTGGGAAGCAATATCCTGCAGGGTACATTGTTTTAATCTTTCTGGGCTTTTTTGAATTTATTGTCAGTTTTTAACACACGACAAAGTGGCTCCCTATTAGAAGTTCATGAAGGATCCTTGGGCTGTTCCTGAGAAGTTAGCATAAAAGGGAAGGGGTCAATATTGTCCTCATTCCCTGGGCTTACACCCAGAGAGAAGACTAAAAACCTCCTTGAGGGAGAGACTGAAAAATCCCACCAGAATTGGCTCCAGATAACAATCTTTTTTAAAGATTTATTTTTTATTTATATAAGCACTGGGTACAGTCAGAAGCGCAGGAGGGTGAGAGAATTCACCAGAGCCAGAGAAGGGAACAGAACAGGTAGACTGACGAAACACACTGCTGAGGGGGCAGCGGGCATGCAGTAGAGGTCTGCGCGCCATGTGGGACCCTCCTCCGGTGGCCGGGGAGCAGCCGGGGATCGAACCGGCGCTGCAGAGGCTGCAGGCAGCCTCGCAGCCCAGCTCTCAACCGTTACGCCATCAGGGGAGGCCCTCCACATAACAATTTGAGTTAATTTCAGTGAAAAGTTTGAGTAGTTTAGTCCAGGACACGTGGGAAGGAGCTCTGGAATGACTTCCGGTGTGGCTGGATGAGCTGGTGTTTCATCCTGGGTTGTGCTTTGGGTTTTCATTGTTCTTGTTCCCTCCTATCCCTTCCAAGTGAACTTCCCTTCAAAGAACCTTTAACTCTTTCTCAGCAGAATTGAGAGGAAAGGGAAGTCACCATATATAGGCCAAGGTGAAGAGCAGAGCAGGTCTGTAGAGATAGTGTAGTGGAGGAAGTGTCCTTTTCAAGTCTTAGGACTAGAAAGTTGTTGGTTGGGCTACAGTAGAAAGATCAGGCTTTGGGGGGAAAATAGACAAAATGACTCAGCCAAAGCTGTTTACATCTCCTTTGTGGTCTAGTTCTTGTGGGTGCAAAAAAGACATGTTACAAAACCTCCAACCAATTACAAGTTCATATCCCCAGCCACCTCCATTATCTCATTCTCACACACTAAGTCAATATTTCCCAGGCCTGGGATTTATTTCCCTGGGATCATAAAATGATCCCAGGCCCAGGTACCAGATAAGGACAGCCCTTGTGCCCCAAAGTCTGCTGGAGTTATTCAAATTAACCAGTCCTAAACTGCTTACCATGCCTTGCTTTCTTCACTGCAACTTCAGCACAGACTATCTTTCCCCTTGAGACTGCTCCTGTCTCCTGATCAGATCTGGTGCTTCCCCTGTGTCCCTGCAGTTCTCTCGTGAACTGCAATAAATTCTTTATCACTGGCATTAGCTTCTGCGAACTTTGTATATCAAGATCTGTGCACAAATCACTTGCAACCACACATGAAGAAACAGAACTTTTGTATCCCCCACCTCCATCTCATGAGCCTTCATGGGCCCAGATCAATCACCTAAACTGGTAAATTAACTATGCACACATCCCTTTTAACCTACATCCAGATCGAGCTATAGAGCATCTCCATCCTCTCAGACTGTTCGGGACTGTTCCTTTGTCCTCTTTCCCTTTCAACGCCCACCTGCCTGAGGTTATTACCTTCCTGACTTGTATTGGCATGTATTAATTTTGTCTGTTCTTTTTTTTAAAAAAAGATTTATTTATTAATTTATACATACAAGAGCTGAGGTGTAGACCAGAGGTGCGGGAAGCTGAGAGGATTCACCAGAGACACAGTAGAACAGAAAATAGAATAGGAAGTAGAACAGGAAGATCTCCTGAAAATACACTGCTGAGGGGAGTAGCAGGAGAGATAGGAGAGGTCTGCCACACCATGTAGGTCAGCTCCCTGACCAAGGATTGAACTGGTGCCACAGATAGCTTCATAGTGCTGAGACTTAACCCCTTGTGCCACCAGGGAAGCCCTAATTTTGTCTGTTCTTGAACTTCATATAAATGGAACCATGCAAATTGCACTCTTTTGTCCCAATTTAATGGGAAAATCATTGTACTTCCTCTTAGAAAAATTCTTCCCAGAAGTGTCCCTCCTTTGCATGGTAAGACCGCTAAACCTGAGAGCTTAGAATTACAGAGATGGGAAGCCAACATTTTATAGATGGATCATTTATTTAGGTGCCATCATGAATGGTGTCACTACCACTTCTATCCCTTAGTTTTCAGGACCCCTGTTTTCCTCCATAGGATTCATTTTGTCTCAGTTGACACACAGACACCCCCAAATTAAATGTTCATTAATTTTATAGATTTTTGTTTTCTAAGATTCATTTTCTCTACTTTATCTTTTTAAAAACAAGTTTAGCGAGGTATAATTAATATGCCATAAATAATATTTTAAGTTGCAGTTCAGTTTCTGTGAAGTTACAGAATCATGGAAGCACTGCTGTCATCCAATTTTAAGATATTTCCATGGCCCCAAGAAGGTTAGTTCCTTGTACCCACTTGTAGTCGCTCATTTTATTTTAGTTCATTTCTTCTTTTTGTATTCCTTAGGTTTCATTTTGTTGTTTCTTATCTACATATGTAGTTCATGCTTAATTATGTTCATTCTTATTTATTAAAATAAGTATTTTAGGCTATGATAATCCCTTCAATCTCTGCTTCATACATACAGCACAGCGGGTACATGTACTATGTCCCATTTGGCAAGCCATGTAATTTTGGCTTTGAATTTCTCTTGGAGCCAAAACTCAGTTCTACAATGTCTGTGACAATCGTAATTTTTCTAGTTTGTAATTAATTCCTAATTTTATTGTATTATAATCAGAGGATGTTGTTTGTATTTTTTCTTTTTATTGGCTAAATTGTGGTCTAATGAATCCATTTTATGATTACTTGGTAGGCATTTGCAAAGAAAATGTATTTTGTCTCAGTATAATTTCTCTGAAAAGAAGGATGTATTCCTTTTTACAACTGGGAGAAATATGTTATTTTACAAATTAGTCCATGAAAGTCTATATATAGTTGGGTTCTCCATGGGGGAGAGAGAGGGGTCTGATCGTCTGAAACAGAACCCCTCTGTTATAACTTCCAAGACTTGTTGCGCCTCTATATGGAGATGCCAACACGTAAAATGACAATCATCACATGCATGGACGTTATAGAAGTGTCCCTGCCCTCATGCCCTAGCACCGCTTTTTCAGTGGGAACTCAGTCTCTCAAGATGTCCTGCACCACTCCCAGGCTTCTGTCCCGTCACCACCCACATCCCAATTCTTGCTGGTTGATTTTATGACCTGTGCACTCGAGAGAGGTAAGAAAAGGGTCAACTGAGAGAAAGCATTTCCAGGCCTGAGCATCGCACCGGTTTCTCCACCCACAGGACCCCAGGACCCGCAGGGGCGCTCAGCGGGGCAGAGGAAGGAGAGCAGGAAGTTCACCTCGTTGCTGACAATGAGTCTCCCTGGGTGGATGTCGTCGGGCAGGGCCAGACTGGAGGTCATTTCCCAGGCGTCCACAAAGGCCACTCGCAGGTCAGCAAAGGCAGCTCGGAGGAGGCGGTTCAGCTGCAGGGTGAACCAGTCACTGCCGTACACAGACTTGTAGCCGGTGTTGGCCAGCTTGATGACCACGAGCGTGAGGGGCTCCCGGGCCAGCAGGGCGGCCACGGCCGCCCGGATCCCGGCCAGTCGTCGCGCAAAGATGGTTGGAGGGAAGGTGGTGAAGTGGGCGCCCAGGCCCAGCACCACCACGGTGTGGGGACCCCCGGCCAGGCCCCCCAGCTCCCGGACCACGGAGTGCAGGGAGGCCACGGGCGTGCGGAGGGAGCGCAGGGGCCAGCCGTGCGCGTGCCAGTGCAGCACTATGTTGCGCGTGGGCTCCACGGCCATCAGGGGCCCTGTCTGATAGGTGATGTGCAGGTCCACTGGCTTCAGGGCTGGGGGGGAGGACGAGAGAGGAGGCTTAGGGGTCAGTGCAGGACTGTACTTCCTCCTTTAAAAATACAGAAGATCTAACATCACTTTTCTCTAAGGACAGGAGTATCCCGTGACCCAATCACCTGATTTTGCTTTCCCTCACCTATGTTATTACCAGCGACCTCCTGCTGGCCAAATATGAAGGTCTACTCTGTTTTCAGCCTTGCTGGGCCCGTGAGTATTTTGTCTTTTTGATTTTCCTTTGGAAATCTGCTTTCTGAGGAGTGTGTCCTCTCTTTTTTAGGAATTGGCCCCTTTACTCCGTCAGAGGTTCCCAAAAACCACACGAAGCCAGAGATGCAAAAGCAAAAAGGCTTTATTGCTAGCTTAAGCTAGGGCCCAACTCTGCCTGGAGTACTGACACAGCAGTCTCACCAGGTTGAGAGAGGGACCCCCTCCCAGAGCAACCAGCCGTTTTTGTACTTTGCTGACAGGATGCGGGGAATTTTCACACCTGGGGCAGGGTCCACCCTGACTGGATAGCTCTCATGGTGCCAGCTAGGTTTCGTTTACCCTTGTTTTGTGGTTTCTGCCCCTAAACAAAACTAGGGCACAACTGTGCCCTTCAAAAATGTGTATTCCTTAAAATGGCTGCTGTCTTGCCATGCCTAATTCTTTAATATCTTACATCTCTAGTCTCCTTTCTGGCAGAGCGCTCCAACTATGATTCACCCATTGGCTCCCAACCTGGATGAACACTCACCCCAAGTGAGAGCTTCCGGGTGATCCAGTTTATGTCCTGGCACCCCTATGGACCAGTGGCACCTGAAATCCAGTCTTCTTGCTCGGTGTGCGCTAGTAGAAAACTAATGCACTTGCAGGAAAAGGCCCTTCCTTTCTTTGCAGAGTGCCCAGTTGCCTGCTGTGCTGTGTGCTGCAGGGCCATGTGGGTGCAGAGAGCGTCTGTTTCTATTTCATGGAAAGGCATCAGAGCAGCTAACAGAGCTCTAACTTTCCTGACCTTCTGTCATGAGTTTCTACCCATCTTAAGAAACAACCCTTGCTTAGGAAACTCACCAGGTCACCTTCCCATGAGCATAATTGCCCGCATGGGACTCTGAGAGGTCACATGAGGTTGCCTAAATAGAGAATGAGCTGGAATAGCGAATGAGCGCCTCCTTTTCCCAGTCCCACTGCACGCAGACTAACCCTCCTGAGACATTCAGGGCTTTGATTTCTCAAGTAGGAGGGTAGACAACATCCCACAGACCTCAAGGTCTGCAGGTGGCAGAAGCTAGTGTGTCTGATAATTTCTGTAAACAAATGGCAGCCACACAGAGGCAGTTTGTGCAAAGGCACAAAGCACTTCTCTCATAGCTAGGTAAGAAGGGGGAGTTGTGGGCTGGGGTGCTCCCCTCCATGAGAGCACGGAGCTACCCACTAAGTCCCACACACCTCTCCATGGGGTGCTGATGTTCATTTCCTTCCTCATTCTTGGCTCTCCTGCTGCCCCTTTCCCCACTAAAGCATATTCCTTAATCCATGTACCAGATGTTGTGGGCTCTGTATGCAAGATGGAGACTCAGGTGGGATTCACCCTGCATGATGTGCTCACCTCTTTTAACTTTTCACCTTGGACGAATAAATATCAAAACTGTCTGAAACTCTGACATCACAGTCCAAACTTATGTCTTCAAGTGCCTCATCCCTGGAAACCCCTTCTTCACCCCTTTAGCCCTGTATCAAGTGGTATAAAATAAAAATCTATCATCTTCTCCCACTCCTGTCCCTTGCTCCTATATCCAGCCAGGCCCCCCAGTGACTTCCATTCTGAGTTCATTTCCTGGTTCCCACAGTTACAAAATTGTCAGTTTCCCCAATCTAATAGTTTCTTTATTTTTTTTTAAAGATTTATTTTTTATTTATACAATAGCTAGGGTACAGGCCAGAGGTACGGAATGTGAGAGGATTCACCAGAGACAGAGCGGGGAGCAGAACAGGCAGACTGACCGAAGGCACTGCTGGTGGAGAAGGAGCGGCTGGAGCAGATCAGTGAGTGCCACACATCTTGGTGGTAGAAGCCAGAGGGCTTTGGGGCCAGGAGCCCAGGGCGACAAGGGTGTTGAGGGGATAGAACTGTAAGCAATTGTTTATAAGAGAAACAATCAGTGGGTACAGAAGAGGCTAAGACTGTGGGCAGGGAATAAGTGCCCCTTGTCTGCATTGTCACTTACCCAGATTCCTGTTGCTCTTCTTGGCCACCCAGATTGGAGCAATACCCTGAGGGAGGATCTTGTCTGTCACATTCCTCAAAAGAAACCATTCACAAGATAGGAGCCCATGCAGTGGGTGAGATAGAAAGGAATCCTGGGCAGAAGAGAAATGGGGATTTTTAGAAGAAAAGAAGTTCTCCAAGTCAAGAGCTTCTGTCTGAGGTCAGACCCCCTAGGACACCAGGCTGGAAGCTGGAGTTCAGGGATCCAAGTTCTTCAAAAAAAATTTTTTTTGACTTGTGGATTTCATCAGCACAAAAAGCAGAATTGTTTTTAAGATGTACCTAGGATTTTGGTATAATTGAGGTATGGTAAGGCCAACAGATCAGATGACTGCTGTTGGAATGACAGCATGGAACTCACAGTTGCAAAGAGGTAGGGGCCTGGCACAGGGGCCAGAAGGGGGACCCTGGGCTTGGTCAGGAGACACAGAGAACCAGGGCAAAGTGTGGGAGGGAGACCTTTTTGTGACTTTTGCAGGAAGGGATGGAGGGCTCAGCAGCAGCAAGCACCCGAGACGAGGTGAGAGCTGCATAGCCAGCTATGTGCCGCCCTGCCCTAAGCACTTTCCGTACATATATTTATTTGTTTCTCACCACAAGTAATGAGGGAGGTACTTGACAACTGAGAAAAAGGAGGTGCAGGGCCTCCCCGGTGGCGCAGCGGTTGAGCGCTGGGTTGCGAAGCTGCCCGCGGCCTCTGCGGTGCCGGTTCGATCCCCGGCTGCTCCCCGGCCACCGGAGGAGGGTCCCACATGGCGTGCAGACCTCTCCTGCCGCCCGCTGCTCCCCTCAGCAGTGTACTTCGGTCCTTCTGCCTGCTCTGCTCCCCACTCTGGCTCTGGTGAATTCTCTCACCCTCCCGCGCTTCTGACTGTACCCAGTGCATGTATAAACAAAACAAACAAACAAACCAGCAAACAAATAAATAAAGCATGCCTCTATTAAAAAAAAAAAAAAAAAGAAAAAGGAGGTGCAGAGAGGTTGCCAAAGATCACACAAATCAAAGGTAACAAATAGTACCAGGTGAAATGGGGATTTGAACGCAGGCAGTCTCACTCCTGAGACTGCTGAACTGTACCCCCCCACAGCATCGTGGGGTGGCTCCTGGTTGAACCTTAGATGTATTTCCAATCAACCAATGCAAGAAGGATATAAGGGTCTCCTTTTCTGACCAAAGGTAGCATAAAAATTGGTCTGGGAAGACCAGAGTTTCCTGATGCTAAATTCTGAAGTAGGACAGTGGGAACTCCTCCTCAGATAAAGAGCTGCTTAGAAACTGTGGGGAGCTGACATGTGGGTGGCGAGTCCAACTGTGGCATATGCTTGGCTCAGGTCTTCAGGCCGGTCTGCTCCCTCCTGTGCCCCTTGTGGATGGACCTGGAAGCAATTCTGCTAAGCGGAATAAAAAAAAAAATAATCCATATTACTGAGACTTATAAAATGTTATAGGGCCTCCCCAGTGGCGCAGCGGTTGAGCACTGGGTTGTGAGGCTGCCCGCAGCCTCTGCAGCACCAGTTCGATCCCCGGCTGCTCCCCGGCCACTGCGCGAGGGTCCCACATGGCGCGCAGACCTCTCCTGCCGCCCACTGCTCCCCTCAGCAGTGTACTTCGGTCCTTCTGCCTGCTCTGCTCCCCACTCTGGCTCTGGTGAATTCTCTCACCCTCCCGTGCTTCTGACTGTACCCAGTGCTTGTATAAATAAATAAATCTTTAAAAAAAGTTATAAACCAAATTTACTTTTAAAAAGTTAAAATCAAAAGATAAATAAAAATTAAAAAGTGATAATATTTGTGCTGTTTGGGTCCCCTTTGGCAGGACCCTCTTTGACAGGACCCTAGAGCAGCAGCCACTTCAACTGCCAGCCCTTCTGCCTAAGTGCCTCTCCCCCTCCCCATGGTTCCTTCTCACCTCCTTAGAGTGGATGTCACTTCACCTATACTCTGCCCCCTACTCAGTTGCCTTCTGGGACCCTGTTTTTGCCTCCACCCACTACTTCCTTCCTACTGGAGACCAGATGCCCACATCTTAAACAGTGCCTCCCTCACCCTTGGGGTATCTCCTGCCTCAGCCCAGCCCGGATCTCAGGGACAGGGCGGGGGGCTCACCTGAGCCAGTCTGTTCTCACTGTCTCTGCTGCCTCAACCTATCCTCTGTCCACTGCGGGAAGACTTGCTCCCCGGAGACGATGGACAATTCTTGGTCTTTATTTTGCTTGGTTTCTGGACTGCAGTTTCTGCTCCCTCTCACTCACTGGGTTGTATCTCTTCTCTAATTGTCACATCTCTTTGCAGGGGCCTCAAAAGAGTGGACGCCTATGTTTTGCCAGAGGTCCTGAGTTCACCTTCAGGCTCCAACTGAAGTGTCACCTGCCATGACCATCACAGGCCAGATGGGGCGCCCTTTCTCTGTGTCCTTGAAGCACTGAGTGCAGACTGCAGTTAAATACGTATCACACTCCTACCTGTTTAAAAAAATCACATGCCTCTTCACTGAAAATTTGTAGAGGGCAGGGATGCCAATTTATGCGTCATTAGTCAGCATTAGCAGGAGAACTGGCAGCTTGAGGTACTCAGGAAACGTATTTAATGAACTAAGAGATGAATGAGTCATTCAGGGGTCAGGATTCAGAGGTTGGGGTAGACATCCCAGATGATGCTGGGCCTCTTACCTTGCCAGCAGGGCCTCATCCTGCTGTGTGGTCACATTCCAGAAACATCCAGTTGAATGTCTGACCAGGGAGTTGCAGGGCAGGGTGGGGAGTCGAGCACAGAACCAGAGCTCACCTGAATCTTCATCTCTGTAATGACGGGTGGACGCTTCCTCCCCAGTTAACATGGGAGTCACATTGCAAGTCACAATTACTTCATATCCTGAGGGTCCCCTGAAATAGCCCATAAAATCAACTGTGGCCCATTGGTCTCTCCAGATCCCCTGCAGAACCGCAACTGCCTCGCTGGAGTGGATCAGCCGCACTTGCACCTGGGCCTTCCCAGCCCTGAGCAGGGGGGAAGGACAGCAGGTAGGTGCCATTCTCCAGATCCCGAACGTTCCCAGCAACCCCTGCCTTCAAGTCTGGACCCAGAAGCTGTGTCCGAAACAGATGCCCGCTGTGGGTCTTGGGTCTGCCCCGGTGGTCTCTGGCCACCAGGATGGCCTCCAGGGAGTCTCCCAGGGCATAGCTGGCCTGGGCAGGACCCTTCAGGTGGTAGGTGGAGGTCAGGGGGCTGGTGGGGGCCAAAAGGTCTCTCCGGTCTCTAGGGTTTGGAGGCCAGTACAGAGGATCAGCCAGGTCCGAGAGCTTCTGGGAGAGAGAACTGGAGGACTTGTAGTCAGGGCGGGGCTCTGGGAGAGGAGTGACAGCATCAGGCCAGAAAACCCTGATGTACAAGATCTGTGGGCAGAGAAAGAAGAACCTATCAGTGGTTTTGTTATAGGACAGGGAGAGGGGCAGCCCAAACCCCGCAAACCTGCCTATTCTAAATGGGTTCGGCCATCCGCCGCATCAACACAAAACACATGAGAGTAATGGGAAGGATCTTTAATAAAACTAGGAAACAATACAGGAAAGGCAAAGAGTCTAGTTTCTAAATGAAGCACCCAAAGTTACCCGTCCCCTCGTGGGTAAAAGTCCATCCATATGGGATCGGCCCAGAGCAAGGCCCCAAAGCCTGCTACAAGTCTAAAGCATCTTCCAGTGGGGACCCACAGAAAAGGGTCACAAACAACCGGACAAGCCCGGAAGGAAAAGAGCAAAATCAACATCAAGATAAAAGCTGCCATTGTCACCTCCCCACAGGTCTCACCCACATCTGTGTCACCCAGTCCACGACCAAAAGACAAGCGCAGTTTCTTTACTTGTCTCTAGGCTCCATGCGCCTCCTCCAGTTCTCCTGGCTCCATCCTGCTTCCTTCCTTAGTCTCTTCTGCAGCTTCTCCTCTTCCTGCTCAGCTCCACCCTCCCTTGGGTGGGGCAGGGAACCTCCCCCTTTCCTGGGGACCACCCTGTTGCAGTTTGTGTCTTTTCATCTTTCTCAAGGGAAGGGATTTTCAATTTACCATAGTCCTCCTGGGCCTGGTGAGTCTCGGGCAGGAATCCTCCCTGCCCTGTCTCATGCTGCTCTGACACAGCTGCTGTCTGGCCACCACCACGCACAACTGCATACTCCATCTCTGGTTTAAAACCATAAGCCTGTGAGAGTTGCTAAATCCCACAGAGCATAAATAGTATCTCCGACTCCTGGTCCCACTGGTTTCCAAGCCACTACCTTCTGACTGTATTCCTGCTGCCGCCACCAGAGGGACCCTCCTGAGTTCCTCTGAGCCAGTCCACTCCCAGTCTCTGGCTCTCCACACCCTACAAGTGAAGGAGGAAGTTTGAGAAACAATGGGTTGGAACTAGGAGGGGTCCCCTTAAGCCCAGGTGTCCTGAATTCATTTTATCAGCATGATCTAGAAACAACTGATTAGAAGCGGGAATTCACCCCCCACCCTCACCCCCCAGCCCTAGGTCCATTTATCAGTCTGAGTGGAGAATAATTGTGGACCAGGAAGGTGCTCCCCAACTCAATTAAAAATGAAATATTTAGAATACCAACATAATAGCACAATAGTAATGAACTACAGCTGGTTCCAGAAGGGAGGTCAGGTAACTTTTGTTAGGGGGAAAAGGGTGTCCTAAAGCTAATTCCATACAGGCTTTGTGGACTCCACCCCCACCCCAGGCCAAAGCCAAAGACACTGGGAACTCTAAATCCCATCACCACCAAAGGGAAGGTAGCTGGGACCTGAGGGTGGGGTTAAGCAGCCAGGTGGATATAAAAGGCAGACACGTGGGCTTTGGGGGGGTCCCCCATTTTGGCTCTCCACCAGCTAACAGCATCTGGCCAGCTCTGAGAGTGACTTTGGGTTTCCAGGTCGTCGGATCGGGTAGGACGCATTAAAGACTTTATTTCCCTATTTTCTCCCTGAGTTGTACATTTTCCTTATTTCCTTTTTCCTTGTAAATAAACCTTTTATTAACCTTTTGTGTGTGCCTGTAGTGGAGTATTCATAAGTCCCTTTTAAGCGCGTGGGTGAGGACCCACAGCCAGGAGCCCGTTCAATATCGGGGCTGCTCTATATCACTTTGGAGTCAGTGGACCTTGGTAACGCAGCCAGTCACCGAGAGAGATACAATGCGGTGACACCCAATGGCCGAACCCCCTCTCTTTGCCCACTATACCCATATAAACACCTACTTTTTGCCCCCTCAGAGGCTACCCATTCGGGACCCCTCTCTGCTTAGAGAGTTTTCCTGTCCTTCCTCTTGCCTATCAATAAATCTCTTGCTTTTCTGTCACTTTGATCTCGGCACTGAATTATTTCCTTGCCAAAGACAAGGACCGAGAAAGAGCCAGTCTGGGGTCCTTGGACTCTGGGCTTGCTCTCTAAACCCCAATTCACAAGTCCTCTCTCTGGACACCAAAACCTATCCTCCTATTTCCTTTCTCCCCAGTTTCTACCATCTCTGTCTTGAATTTAGGAAGATTTCCTTTACACAAGAAGAAGGAGCTAGAGGCCCACTTCAGGGAGCAGTCCATGGGACTGGACACATGGGGTCCAGGAGTTTCTTTCCATAAGAGGCAAAAGAGGCAAACAGGAAAGAGATGCAAAAGAGAAAGATAAGGAAGAGGCTGCATAACTGCAGGTAGAAGGGGGTGTTGAGGAGGAAGTGAACTGGGACTCCAAATATCTTTAACGTCCCACAAAAGATCCAAGTCTTGCCTTAACACTAACCTTAGCAGTCTTATCTCATGGGAAACATATCCATAAGGTTTAAAATCATGGCACAAATGCCCAGCAATTCCCCCCAAAGAAATTGATCCAGTTTAGTGACTCATCAGGATTTGACGTTCTCTAGCATTTATCTATCCTGCATCTGACTTGCTCTTGGATCACACCTTGGAGACTCCCTCACTCAACCTTTCCTCATGACACACATTAGGTGCGGGACACACTCTCCCAGCCATGCATGAGGAGAACACCAGTCCAGGGCAGGGTGGCCTAAGGGGTTATGACTCCAGTCGTATCAGCAAATGCCACCTCGGGCTCCTGAGCAGGATCGTGCTCCTAAGACTGATGCCCTATTCTGAACTAGCGCTTCTGATGCAATTCCTCGCTCCTGTTTCAGATGGAGAACTAGAATTAAGAAAGGATGCTTAAGGAAATATTGCCAGTCTCACCAGACTAGTCACAACAATGCCACAAACCTATTCTAGGTTAAATGGTGAAGAGTTTGAACTAATGGCAGGGAAAAAGGAGCTATAAAGGCAACTCAATTTGAAGAGATTTGTTATTTAGCTTAATGTAAATGATTCGTCTTTTGCAAAGACATCTATTTATGTCTTTGACTTGAAAATAGATTGTTGTAATGTTTCCTGTTGCCCTCCCCCACCCGCAGTCTAGCAGGCAAGGGAGCAAAGCCACCTTCATAGACTTAAAATGTGAATGGAAACCAGCCTGCGGCTTAAGCAGGAATTTGCTGCCCGAAGGTCAAGCCAGTCCTTTCACACCCACTGATGGCCATGGAGCCAGGTAATTAACAATGGGTACCTAGCCTTTTTATCTCCGCAGTGCCCACTTCAGAAAGGAAGAAGTTAAATCCTGCATTGCATTTCTTTAACATCAGCCTACTTTTAGCTTGGGTCAACTGAGGGCTAGAGCCCCTCCTAGTAAACTATATAAATTAAATTCAAACTTGTCTTTAATGGAACTGTAACAGGGTGGTCCCCAGGAAAGGGGGAGGTTCCAGGTTTCCTGCCCCACCCAAATGGAGGATGGAGCTGAGCAGGGAGAGAAGAAGCTGCAGAGGAGACTGGGGAAGGAAGGAAGCAGATTGGAGAGCCAGAAGGAGACCTGGAGGAGGCACATGTTGCTGAGAGACACATGAAGAAACTGCACTTGCCTTTTGGTCGTGGACTGGGTGATACAGATGTGGGCGAGAGACCCGTGAGGAGGTGACAATGACGGTTTTTGTCTTGATGTTGATTTTGCTCTTTTCCCTCTAGACTTGTCTGCTTGTTTCTGATCCTTTCCTGTGGGTCCCCACTGGAAGATGCTTTAGACTTGTGGCAGGCTTTGGGGCCTTGCTCTGGGCCAATCTCATTTGGATAGAGTTTTACCCACGAGAGGACGGGTAACTTTGGGTGCTTGATTTAGAAACTAGATTCTTTGCCTTTCCTGTATTTCCTAGTTGTATTAAAGTTCCTTCCCATTAAAGTCTCATATGTTTTGTGTTGATGCGGCGGATGGCAGAACCCATTTAGAGCAGGCAGGTTTGCAGGGTTTGGGCTGCCCCTCTCCCTGCCCTGTAACACATTAGCTCTCACAGAGGAAAATCTGTCAGGCTGTTTCCTAGGTTCAAGTTTTCACTTTGGGTTATCTAATAAACTCTTTAACTATCTTAAGATTTATTTTTGGTTAACAAAGTTTTCATTTGCTTTTTCCCCTATTTATTTTTGGGGAAACATCTTATTGAAGGATTCAACTTTTTCTCAACGGAACCGAGGAGAAAAGGAGACTTCTACATATGGAAGGGGGAGCAAGGGGCCCTTAGAGACAAGTGGCCCCCATTTTAAGAACTTGAAGGAGCAGGTGAGTTGGAACAGAAATAGAGCAGAGAGATAAGCACAGACAACTTAGGCTTCCATCTTGCCTTCAGTCTTGGGGCAATGTTTGGATTCCCTTGCAGCTACCCTGACCAGATATAATGTGCTCACAATGTACGCTGAGGACTTGTCTCACCACATCAGTTTCTGGATTAGAAAAAGGGAAATGGAATGGCAAAATGAAGAGCTTCCCTCAGCCTCCCTCTCCTAGATGAAAGTGACTGGTTCGAGCTCAGTGGTGCATATGTTAGGGGGAAAGGATGTTAACACACACACAAAAGTGGACATAGGAATACTTAACACAGATTGCAATGGCTGCTCCCAGAACCACAGTCTTGTGCCCTTTGAACTGTCTGATGAGCAGTTCTGTGGAGGCCTGGAGTTGTTTACTAGACATCTGGTATGTGATCAAGACTCTGGGTTGGGCCTCCCCGGTGGCGCAGCGGTTGAGCGCTGGGTTGCGAGGCTGCCCGCAGCCTCTGCAGTGCTGGTTCGATTCCCGGCTGCTCCCCGGCCACTGGAGGAGGGTCCCACATGGCGTGCAGACCTCTCCTGCCACCCGCTGCTCCCCTCAGCAGTGTACCTCAGTCTGCCTGTTCTGCTCCCCGCTCTGGCTCTGGTGAGCTCTCTCACCCTCCCGCGCTTCTGACTGTACCCAGTTCTTGTATAAATAAATAAATACATCTAAAAAAAAAAAAAAAAAAAAAAAAAAAAAAAAAAAAAGACTCTGGGTAGATGAAAGAGTAAAATTAGAGTGATAGCATGAACACAGTGAACCAAGAGTTTTCTAACATTTCCTTCTCTCCTCCCCCCGACCCCTCCAGTAGCACCAATTTGGACAATTACCAGTGATGAGAGGAATTTTGTAGATGTTTGGGCATCCAGTGAAGAAGTTCCAGCACACCCTTGGAGCAATTATGGTTCATCAGTCCTATTCATGTTCACAAAAAGACAAAACTTGTCTGAGAATATTTATAACAGCTTTATTCATAATATTTCCAAGTTGAAAAAAAGACAAATATCTACCAATGGAAGATGGTATGGTCATTGAAAGGTTCGGAGCGGTAAAGAAAAGGAGAGCCAGGCTAAATTTCTCAAAGGAAGGGAAAATTTATTGTGCCTTGGGCGGACCTCACAGACCCCAGACCTCACGGACCCAAGATGGGGGTCTGTGAGGCCGCGCCCATTGTGGAGAGAGACATCCCCTTCATAGGATGAGGAGAGGTTAGGCAGGAAAACTGGGTTGGGTGGCAGGGATGGGGGTTGGGGGGAACAGGTTTAGGCGGAACAAAGTTGTTTTTCATGGAGCTGAGTTTTTTTCTCCTGTTTATGACTTCTGTTTCAGTTTGATGGTATCCTGGTGTCAGGGTAATCTTGTATTTCTATGTGGGCTTCCTCATTCCTGGCCCCTGCATCAACCTTTCAGTCATACGATTAAAACTGTTAGGCCATAACAAGGAAACAACTATCTTAAATCCAACAACACGAATGAATTTCAAAACATCAGGTTGTAGGAAGAAAACTAAACACAAAAGTCACATATTAGATGATTCTATGAATAAGAATTTCTAGAAGGAACAAACTAACTTACGGTGATAGTAGTCAGAATAGCAGTTGGCTCTGGAGGGAGGGTTTGATTGGAAGGGAGCATAGGGAAAGGGTTTAAAAAATGTTAAGGTGTTCCAAAAATGTCCTTTAACTTGAATTGGGTTATGGTTATATGGGTATAGACATTTGTCCAAATTAATTATACACCTAAGAGCTTTGCACTTGGCTATATGTGATATCTCAATAAAAAAGGAAAAATAAAGACTGGAGAAAAGAAAAATATGCATATTCTTATAATTTATAACTAAGTTCTAGAAAATATCAACATGGTAGTGGTGCATGGGGTAAGAAAAAGGGATATGAAAATATACTAAAGTACTTGCATTGTTCAGGGTAAATATAAAAGAGAGCCTCAAATCCTTCTTCAGGCACAGATATATATCCCTGCTTCCTTGCAGGGTATTTCAACAAATCTGCCTTTTCAGTTCTCCAAAACAAACACACACACACACACACACACACACACGCACACATGCACACACGCACACGCTAAGAAAGTGTTTCAAAGTCTTCCTTGAACTTTCTGCACTAAGAGGAGGAAAGAGGTTCAAACTGGGAGTTGAGAGGGTCCCAAATGCCATGACTGGAGGAGGAAACCGGTGAAAGGCTGAAGAGGAAGAGGAACTTTGAGATCCAGAGTTTACATAGGAAAGTGTTATTTCTATTCCATTTCCAAAATCTATCCACATTTTCTGATTAGATAAGAAAGATCATTTACAAAAACTCCAAAAACACATTAGTGTTTCAGCCAGAGTCCAACAGGAGGACAGAAATCACACATGTTAACAGAGGGAATTTAACATAAAGAATGGCTAACTGGATTTAAAAAAAAGCTGTTTCTAGAACCTGAAAAGACCGAATAAGAACACAAAATGTCAAGTAGGTGTTGGGAGCCAGGAGCTTGCTCTCCTGGGGCAGCGGCCCTGAGGCATGCCACCCCCGCCCAGTGACCTGAGGTGGCCTCGGTCACTCCCTCAGGAGGCATAGAGAGAGGATGTCTCCCCACTGTGACCTTCAAGCTGGAACATTGAACATAATCTGGCCACAGGCGTGGAGCTTCCTGACATTGTTGCAATGGCTGGCAACTCCTAATACCAAGAAGCTGTTACCAACCCATCAGCCTTACCCTGCCCTCCCCTGCGCTAGAGAGTGTATAAATAAATGTCCTGCACCAGAACTGGATGCGGTCATGTCCGCTCTGCCACAGCACTCCCCCACCCCCACCCCACAGCCCCCTCCCTCCTAGCTTTCACTAACCTGTCTGATTCCTGTCTTTCCTTAATCTCCTACCGTCCTCCCTCAGATTCTGCTTGACTAGGCAGGTCCCTGGTATATGGCATGCAGGTAGCAAGTGCAGGAAGCAGCTACCAACCTGGCCTAAGGGAGCCAGTGGGAGCAAGTGAAGATGTTATCATCCTGGGCAGCACTAATGTTCTACACATGAGTGTGTCTTTCCACGATGTCAATCTAACTGCAGTTTCTGCAACTAACAAACAAATGGGAGGTGACACATGACCAATGAAAATTCACCAACCTGACCATCAGAGTGAGCTGGGGATTTCACACAAGGAGCTCTATCCGTGAACAGTCACACTTAATGCCACTGCAAGGCTAACATTCTCAGACACTGTCAAAATTAACTGTTAATGAACAAAAGTCCAGGCAGATGAGAGTGCTGGTCCAGTCGGGGCTGCAGTATTTTCAGGAGTTTGTTATGTTGGGACTGTGGGCCTCACCCCTGCAGCAGTCAACAAAGTAATGTCTTCCTCTGTCTCACCAGATAAGCTTTCCATTTTCTTTCTTTTTCCCTCTAGGTTTAGCAAACCCTGTCTTTTTTTTTTTAAGATTTATTTATTTATGCATATAAGAACTGGAGTGTAGGTCAGAGGTGGGGGGGGGGGTGTAAGACAGGATTCACCAGAGACAGAGTAGAGAACAGAACAGGCAGACTGACTGAAATACACTGCTGAGGGGAGCAGCGGGTGAGACAGGAGAGGCCTGTCGTTTCATGTAGGTCAGCTCCCTGAAGGGGTATCAAACTAGTACCAAAATGGCTGCCGGTAGCTTCTTAGTGCTGAGACTTAACAACTTGCACCACCAGGGAGGCCCTGACTTTTCACATTCCAAGGGCAAAGAGCCTCACTATAAAGGCAACATCAGAATCTCTGACCACCAGATCCTGACGAAGGCAAGCTGGCATCAATCAGAATACAAGATGGACATGCTGAACCTTGCCCACGTCCCCTCTGCTCCCTTGTTACTCTGGATAAACACCCCTGCCCTCTACCATAGAGCAGGACAGTGGCCTTTCTAACACGAGACTGCTTCCCGCCTCAATTTGTTAACAAGTTAAATTACTTTCCTCTTCCTCAAACTCTGTTTCCTTTTGTTGGCCAAGGGATCCCAGACAGGCCAGCATTCCGGTATCTAGGGAGCAGTCAGAGCAGCAGACTGCTTCCCGGCCTGCCCCTGGATTGAGGGACAGCGCTTCAAGGAATGGATTTGTGTAGAGATGTGTTGGGGTTTGAATGGTGTCCAGCTGCCATTTTGATACTTTTTTTAAAGAAGCTTTCTGGGTCAATGTTTCTGGTTGTTCTGAGGAGGTTCTAATAGTCCATTTGGGTGCTGACTTACTGCCCCTAAGTGGGTTTATACTTTGACATTGGTGACTCCATTTTATAACTGAACTAAGTTACTTCGATCATAGCTTATTAAATAGTATTAACTATTTGAACAATAAAATGTTTTTATCAGATAGAATGATGAAAAGTTACGAACTTAGAGGAAGGATCCTGTGAAAATAAAATTCAGAAGTCTGGGGAGGGACTTAGGTGGTTTTGCAAGTACTGGAAAAACCTCAAACTGAATTCAGCTTCTGTTCTTGGGAAGAATGTAAGAGAAACATTGCCTGTGTTCAGTCTTGCTAAGACCCATCTATCTGGCTGCTCCACTCCACCCTTAGTTCTCAGCAGTCCCCATTCAGGGAGTTGAGGTCGGGGGGAATCCAGAAAACTCCACCTTTTACCATTGAGTTAGCTATGGGCATCACCCATAGTTAGTTATGAACATTTCTAATTCATAGGCTTATTATCAATAGGCTGAGATTGACACAAAGCACTTAGAGTCACAAGAAAAGCACTCTATTTTCAAGAATATTTCACTCAGCTGCACAGGCATGGAGTTCAAGTCCAGTCTTTCTCTAGAAAGACACACACAGGGCCCTCTTCCCAGCACAATGCTTTGTCTCTGGACATCAGTAGAAAAGGCTTTCCGGTGAGTAGGAAGAGGAAGTTACTACTCTTTGGGGGTTAGGACTGTACTGTTCAATCCACTGGCTTGGAAGTTGCATCTCAATGTTCCTTTTACAGGAACAGATGCTACCAGTGTGCAGAAGGCTGCGGAATCTTGGAAGAACAGGACACAAACAGGAAATCCCGTAAGAAGCAGACAGGGACAGCAAGTCTATCTCTTTCAGCCAACTAAAGATTTCCTTGAGATTTATATCATCCCTGGACATCCCTGTTTCTCAGCTTAGAGTGCCCTAGAATGCTCTATGCTTGTCTAATCCACAATCCTCTTTGAGAACTCAGCTCAGGTATAGCCCTTCATGGAATTCATCCCCAACTCCCAAAGATTGCCTTTCTGGTATAGTCACAAAGCTCACCTCTATTATAGTACTTACCATATGAAACTGTAATTACCACTTACCAGGGGCAGCTTAATCACAGTTTTTACTTTCAAGAAACAGAAGCTAATTCTGGTTGATTAAAGGGAAAGAGGTATTAATAAAAGGATTCCAAACAATTGCTAAGAGATGGGAGAAGCAGGCCTGAATGATAAGTTTCCAGAAACTACACCCTTATACCATGCTCAAAAATGCCTGATGAGATGCCTCCCGCCCCACCACCACCTGGCTGAGCAGTAGGATAAGTTCCTCGGACAGCCTCACAGCGACATGCTCAAGCCCATGCGCCACCCGGGAGGCCCCTCATTGTTTATTTTTGCACAGTGTTTGCTTTCTCCTCTCAGTTCCCGTAAAATAGGTGGTAAGTCCTGGGATAATACTCTCCTGTGAATCACTGTTGTTCACAGTGCCGTTTGTGCTGCGCTCCTCTACACAATTCCTGCCACCTTCCATGCAGCAGCCTCAGGACCCGCAGGGGCGCTCAGCGGGGCAGAGGAAGGAGAGCAGGAAGTTCACCTCGTTGCTGACAATGAGTCTCCCTGGGTGGATGTCGTCGGGCAGGGCCAGACTGGAGGTCATTTCCCAGGCGTCCACAAAGGCCACTCGCAGGTCAGCAAAGGCAGCTCGGAGGAGGCGGTTCAGCTGCAGCGTGAACCAGTCACTGCCGTACACAGACTTGTAGCCGGTGTTGGCCAGCTTGATGACCACGAGCGTGAGGGGCTCCCGGGCCAGCAGGGCGGCCACGGCCGCCCGGATCCCGGCCAGTCGTCGCGCAAAGATGGTTGGAGGGAAGGTGGTGAAGTGGGCGCCCAGGCCCAGCACCACCACGGTGTGGGGACCCCCGGCCAGGCCCCCCAGCTCCCGGACCACGGAGTGCAGGGAGGCCACGGGCGTGCGGAGGGAGCGCAGGGGCCAGCCGTGTGCGCGCCAGTGCAGCACTATGTTGCGCGTGGGCTCCACGGCCATCAGGGGCCCTGTCTGATAGGTGACGTGCAGGTCCACTGGCTTCAGGGCTGGGGGGGAGGACGAGAGAGGAGGCTTAAGAGGATTAATACAGGACATGCACCATCCTCTTGTGCAAATAAAAATCCTAGTTCCAACTTTGCAGGACATCAGCATTCTGTCCCTAAACCCTAAAGCTGCCTCCCTTCACCAAGCTTTCAAGGTTGTCAAGAATCTCACCAGTATCCATTCAGTTTGTTTTAGTTCTCTTTGGCATTTGACTTCTCTGTGCCTGTTGACCTTTTTCTAAAAACCTTCATTTCTTGCCTTTTGTTTCTCATTTTTCTACCTTTCTGGTTATTTTTTGCTCAGTTGTTTGTGTCCTGTTTTCCTTGCACTCTGTAAATGGAGGCATCCCTAACTTCTATCACTAACATCCACTTCTCTTTATCAGTTACCTGTGAGGAATTCATTCACTTGTATATCTTCAGTTTTTGTTTAAGGTCTGATGGCTTCCTGAACTTTGATTCCACATTTTCAATGGCTTTATTAACATTTTCCCTCCAATGGTTCCCCATTGCCTGAACATTTTATACATTGCTTTGATAAATGAATCTAGCATTTCTACACATATCTTTCTCTTTGCTTCCTGAACTTCCCTCTGTTTTCCCACATCAGTCAGCTATAGTTTTTTGGTGACATTACAGTGTTTTATGCTTTTTATTTAACCTCTCCATGAGGAAATTTTCAGTCACATCTGATGCCTCTCTCTGTGAAGTAAGCTGGAGGGGAGGTGGGGGTCCTGTGGGAATAGGACAGAGCTCTCAGACTTCAAAAGACATCAGTCACTTGGAGGACGTGTTAAAACATAGACTGCAAAGTTCCTTTCCAGAAGTTCTGATTCATAGGGTGGGGCCTGAGGCGTTGCATTCTTTTTTTCTTTCTTCTTTTTTTTTTTTAAGATTTATTTAATTATTTATTTATACAAGAACCAGGGTACAGGCCAGATGTGCAAGAGGGTGAGAGGATTCACCAGAGAAAGAGCGGGGAACAGAACAGGCAGACTGATGGAAATACACTGCTGAGAGGAGCAGCGGGCGCGACAGGAGAGGTCTACCACGCCATATGGGACCCTCGCCGGCCAGCCGGGATCGAACCAGCGCTGCAGAGGCTGCGGACAGTTTCACAGCGCGGCGCTCAACCACCTGCGCCACCAGGGAAGGCCCTTTTTCTTCTTTTTTTAAAGATTTGTCCATCTATGCATACCAGAACTGGCGTACAGGCCAGAGGTATGGGGGGGTGAGAGGATTCACCAGAGACAGAGTGGGAAACAGAACAGGCAGACTGACTGAAATACACTGCTGAAGGGAGCAACAGGCAAGTCAGGAGAGGTCTGCTGCGCCATGTGGGTAGCTCCCTGGCCGGGAATCCAACTTGCGCCACCAGGAAGGCCCAGAAGTCGCATTCTTAACATGCTTCCAGGTAATATGGATGCTTTCAGTCTGGGCAGCACATTTTAAAGACCAATGTGATTACTGTAGAGCAGTAGGGTCCCCTTGAGGGTTGTCGTCATACATTTACATTAATTTTTGACATGTCAGTGAACTGTTTATAGTTTCATAATTATGTAAATATTCTTCTTTTCATAGTTAAAACTAGCATCATGATTTTTTTTTGTACGGTAATTTCTCTCTTTCTCTTTCTCTTCCATTGGTGATATCATAAATCAGTGATAAAGATGTCTTTGGAGACTCAATCTCTATGGCAAGGGAAATACCAGCAAAAATAAACACTTGGGACTAACTCAAATCAAAACACTTACACAGTGAAAGGAAATATAAGTAGATTAAAAATACACCACTTAATGGAAGAAACTATCCACAACCAACAAGGACTAATATTCAGGATACACAAAACATGTTTTCAATTTAACAATATAAAAATCAATTTCAATTGGTAAATAGGCAGCAGATTTGAATAAGCAATTCTCCAAAAAGGATATGCACAAAGGAAGTAGATTTATGGGGAAATGTTCAACATCACTTTAAATAAGGGAGATGTATGTCATAATGATGTCATCTCACACTCATGAGAATGGCACATGTTAAGAAGACCTCCACCAACAAATGCTGGAGAGAATGTGGAGAAAGAGGAACCCTACTGTACTGTTGGTGGAAATATAAACTGGTGCAACCATTATGGAAAGCAGTCTGGATTTACCTTAAACATCTAAATGGAAATACCGTGCATCTAAATGGAAATACTGTAGCTGGAAATACCTAGCTATCCCATTCTTGGGCATCTATCCAAAGAATATGAAGCACAAAACCCCATGTGTTCCCCAATGTTCACAGAAACACTGTTTACAATAGCTAAGGCATACAAGCAGCAAAATGTTCCATTATTTGATGATTGGATCAAAAAGATGTGGGGTATCCACACCATAGAGTACTATAGGGTGAAATGCATCATTTCAACAAAATGGAGGGGGTTTCAGAGAATTATGTGTAGTAAAGCAAGTCAGAATGACAAAAGCAAATTCTGGATTCATAGCAGACAATAGAAATAAAACATCCTGAGGGCTCTGAGGTTAAGAAGGAGGGGGAGGGGAGGGGACCTGGGGATACCAAGGATGGTGACAAGGGAAAGAAACAGCATTTGATTCTCCTCCCCCCAAAATAAATACATTAAAAATCAAACACACATCAGTCATAATGACAGATTGAAAATAATAATAATAATAGCAATGAGAACAGTCAATTTTTTTCTCCAGGTGTGTTCAGTTGCACAGGTAGAGCTGCAAAGAGGCAGAGGGTAGAATGAGCCAGACTATCACCAATATTATCACATAGTCGATTCCTTCTAATCATTCTGGATTCAGCTCAAATGAAATTGCCTCAGATGCACCTTCCCTGACCACTTTATCTTCTGCCTCCTCATCATCTTTCACTTTCATATTCTTTTTTTCTCAGAGGACTTTGCTCTATGTGGAATTTTTCATGTATTTATTTTTTGACTTGTTGCTAAGTCTTTTCACTAGAACTTATGCACAACAATATAGGAATCTTAACTATTGTCTTGTTTTGTTCGCTACATATTCCTAGAACCCAGAGTAGTGCCAGGACATCAGAGGTCCTCGATAAATGTTTATTGAAAGGTAGGGAGGGAACTGGAGGGGGGGAAGGAGGTAGGGAAGGAGGGAAGGGAAGAGAGGGGTGGAGAGGAAGGGAGAGGTGGAAGGAAGGGAGGGAGGGAGAAGGAAGGGCTGAGGTGGGTGGGGGAACAAAGTTTGAACTTTATGTCCTTTGCATTTTAATTTTAAGAGAGTAAATGGGGATTTTATTTAGAAACTAAATGGAGACTCTTTTTGTGTTAACTGAAATTATATGAAAGTGTTTTCAAAACTCATTTGAGGGCCTCCCTGGTGGCGCAGCGGTTGAGCGCTGGGTTGCGAAGCTGCCCGCAGCCTCTGCGGCGCCGGTTCTATCCCCGGCTGCTCCCCGGCCACCGGAGGAGGGTCCCACATGGCGCGCAGACCTCTCCTGCCGCCCGCTGCTCCCCTCAGCAGTGTACTTCAGTCCTTCTGCCTGCTCTGCTCCCCGCTCTGGCTCTGGTGAATTCTCTCACCCTCCCGCGCTTCGGACTGTACCCAGTGCATGTATAAATAAATAAAAACAAATAAATCTTAAAAAAAAATACATAATTTAAAAAAAAAAACTCATTTGAGTTCATTATGTAGCTAGGTCTCCTCCATTTTGCAAGGGGGGAAAAGCTCTCGTAGACTAAAAATTAGGTATAAGTGGAATTAAACTCTAAGCACCTTTGTTTTCTCTTCCCCCTACTCTCCTCCATGTGATTAACCCTTAACTGACTCCAACTGCATTCCCAGAAACTTGGAAAATTGATTGTTTTTAAAAAAAAATAAAATTCTCTGTGCCCCTTCAAGGTATGATAGTGGCATCAGAAACAAACACCTGTTGATTTTATTGAGATTACACACTGCTGGGAAAGCCAAATATCTTGGCTCATGTTGCTTAGACTACCCAGCACCTCCTTGGACCTGGAAATGCAAAGCCCCACACTTCCCTCACATTCCTCCCCACCTTTATAATCACAGCACTCCCAACACCCAGGAAGCCAGCCTCATTAGGGTGCTAATACAGTTTCCCTTGGTGGCCATCTCATATAATAAATTCCTCTGTGTAAAGGCACCAGCAAAAGACCCTTTGGTTGTTTACAATTACATAACCTCTGGTAAACTAACCTGGGAAGGAAGTTCAAGGGTAATTACTTCACCTTCCCAATAATTGCTCCACTGCTTTTGGAGAAGTCCTAAAAGAGGTAGCTGACCTTCCTCTTCATCACAAACTTAGAGGTCTTATCCCTTAAAGTCCACCCCATTCTCTTTTTCCGTAAGGCTACAAATGTCCTACCCCTCCCCTCATGGCCACTCACAGGGCACAGTGTCATGCAGGTACTCCCACCACTGCCGAAGAGTGGAGTCCCCCATCATGTGGACCACACGGCCAGCCAGACAACCCAGGATGCTGTCGCTTGTGGAGAAGGAGCGGCTGGAGCAGGTCAGTGAGTGCCACACATCTTGGTGGTAGAAGCCAGAGGGCTTTGGGTCCGGGAGCCCAGGGCAACAAGGGTGTGGTGGGGACAGAGCTATAGGAAAGGGAAAAACAGAACAGAACAATTATTTATAATTTACACTATGCCAGGTACTCTTCTGCATGCTTTTACCTGTATTTTTTTCATTTAGTCTTTTATTTTTTTCCCAGTTACTTCTTTTCTTTTCTTTCTTTTTAAAAAATTAATATTTTATTATATATAATTCTTACATCATTTTTCATTTTTGCACAATGTATGCATTTTCATTTTGGTTATATTCCCCATATAATTGCACCCCCCCCCCTTATTTTGACCCTAATCCTTTCTTTCCCCACCCTTCTCCCCCGCCCCAGTGTGTCTCTGGTTTATAGTTGCTTGTTGATGTTGATTTTTACTTTGTATTAATTGGTCTTTTTCCTGGTCCCTGACTTAGGTTTTCTAAATTCCTGCTATGAGTGAGACCATCCAGTATTTTTCTTTTTCTTCATTTAGTCTTTTTATTTTTTTTAAGATTTATTTATTTATTTATTTATACAAGCACTGGGCACAGTCAGAAGCACGGGAGGGTGAGAGAATTCACCAGAGCCGCTGAGGGGAGCAGCGGGCGGCAGGAAGAGGTCTGCGCGCCATGCGGGACCCTCCTCCGGTGGCCGGGGAGCAGCCGGGGATGGAACCGGCGCTGCAGAGGCTTCAGGCAGCTTCGCAACCCAGCGCTCAACCGCTGCGCCACCGGGGAGGCCCTCATTTAGTCTTTTATAAGTGAGGGCATGATCAATGATAGTGACTGACAGAGAAAACTGCTTTCTTATAATTCCTGGCAGGGGCTCAGGAATTAACCATTGACTTAAATTCATGATAAAACCCCTCTAAGTCTGTTGAATCATCTCCTTACCTGCACCCCCAACCCCAAGATATGCCAGCCCTACTCACCTAGGCTGTTGTTCCTTGTGGCTGCTATTCTGATCTGGATTGGGGAAATACCCTGAGGGAGCACCTTGTCTGTCACATTCCTGGAGAAACATCAAGAGTAAGCACTGAAGAAAGATGACCAGGTGAAAGCTTGAGTCCCATATAGGCAGTGAATATTGACTTGTAATTCTACCCTGCCTAAGTCCAAGGAGGGTTTAATGTCATTACAATACAAATAACATATTTACACCTATAGGCAGTTATAATAAAGGAATCTGGTGTACTTTCTGCAATCAAACAGTCCAGGTAATAAAGCCACAACCAGACTGGATCATGCAGTTCTCCATGAGTATGCTAGATAGAAGAGACAAACTTTGTCTAGCACTACATTCTGGGAGGAACATGGAGCAGAGTTATTTCTTGCTATATAAAAACTCAGACAATGGGAACATAACCCCAGGTCCTTGAATGTGGGCTATGCATAGTGATGTCCAAAGAGCACCATGTGAAAGGACAGAGCACATAGCTTTACAGTAGGGAAACCTGGCAAACAGCACCTCAGCCAGCAGATCCAGTTGACATCAACAGTCACAAATACTGTAGAGAGTATGCTGCCTTGATATAACCTGATGAAAATATAACTTTACCTCTGTATAAACTTTACCATCCCCCAAACTAAAACCCTAGTCTAATCGTAAGAAAAACACGAAGTTCCAATAGACAGGGATACTATAATTAACCAAATACTCCTCAAAATGGTCAAGGTCATCAAAAACAAGGAAAAGGATGAGAAACTGTCACAGCCAAGAAGAACTTAAAAAAAAAAAAACAGGACAACTACAAATAACATGGTATTTTCTGGAACAGAAAAAGATATTAGTTTAAAACTAAAGAAATATAAAGCCCAGAAGTAAACCCACACATATACGAACAGTTAATTAATGACAAAGGAGCTAACAAACTGCAATGGAGAAAGAAAAGTCTATTCAATAAGTGGTGCTGAGAAAACTAGGCAGTCATAAGCAAAACAATGAAACTACTACTGTCTCACAACATACACAAAAAATTAACTCTACATGGATTAAAGATTTGGATGTAAGACCTGAAAACATAAAATACATAAAAGAAGACATAGGCAAAATACCTGATGACATTGGCTTTAGGGATTTAAATTCACTGGAAAGAGAAACTGAAGCAAAAATAAACAAATGGGACTTTGTTTTCATAAGACTAAAAAGCTTCTGCACAGTTAAAGACACTATCAGTAAAACAATATTGAATAGGAGAAAATACTTGCACATCATATATATAACAAGGGGTTAATATCCAAGCTCTATAGAGACTACATGCAACTCAACAAGAAAACAAATAATCCGATTTAAAAAATGGGCAGAAGATCTAAACAGATACTTCTTGAAAGAACACATACAGATGGCCAACAGGCACATGAAGAAATATTTATCATCATATATCATGAAGGAAATGCAAAACCACAATGAGATACCATCTTACACCCATAAGAATGGTCCAAATCAAAAGACCAGGAATAATAAGTATTGGTGACGATGTGGAGAAAAAGGAACCCTCATATATTGTTGGTAGACCGGGTTGCCACTAGGAAAACAGTATGGAGGTTTCTCAAAATATTAAAAATAGATTGCCATATGATTCAACAATTCTGCTCCTGGGTTTCTATCCGAAGAAAACAGTTCAAAGGGATCTATGCATGCCTATGTTCATTGCAGGGCTATTTATGATAGCCAAGTTATAGACACAACCCAGTGCCCATGACAGTAGACACAACCCAGTGCCCATGACAGTAGCTATAGAAGATGTGGCATATACACATGATGAGATACTACTCAGCTTTTAAGAAGATGAAATTTTGCCTTTTGTGATAAATGGACAGAACTGGAGGGGATTATGCTAAATAAAGAGAATATAAAAAAATAAAGAAAGAGAAAGAGAATATAAAAAAATAAAACAAAGGAACAACAAACCTAAACCAAACCTAAACCCATGCTAGGCAGGGTGCAGAGAAACCGGATCCCTCTCACATTGCTCCTAGGAATGTAGGTGGTACAACCACTCTGGGAAACAATCTGGAAGTTTCTTATAAAATGAAACATCCAGGGCCTCCCTGGTGGTTGAGCGCCGCACTGAGAAGCTGTCCGCAGCCTCTGCAGCACAGATTTGATCCCGGCTGGCCGGCGAGAATCCCACATTGGGAAGCAGACCTCTCCTGTCTCTCCTGCTGCTCCCCTCAGCAGTGTATTTCAGTCAGTCCGCCTGTTCTGTTCCCCGCTCTGTCTCTGGTGAATCCTCTCACCTTCCTGAGCATCTAGCCTGTACCCTGGTTCTTGTATAAATAAATAAATAAATCTTTAAAAAAAATTGAATAGTACCTGAAGTCTAGTGAACAGAATTGTACCATCGACAATTTTCCTGTTTTGATATTGTGTTACAGATATATGAGATGTTGTCATTGGGAGAAGTCAGCTGAAGGATTTATAAGACTCTATGGACTGTTTTCACAACTAGCTAACTGTAAATCTATAATTACTTCAAAATTATAAAGCTAAAAAAATTTTAAATAGTAAATAGATCCTTACAGTTACCACAAACCCCTATACTTTTCTCTCTTCCCATTCTGCTCCCTGCAAGAATGTGGTCACCATCATAAAAGTGTTTATGATCCTTATCCACATTTATAATTTAATATATATTTGTATATTTAAAATATTAAATAACATTGTTTGTAGGTTTTAAAACTTTGGATAAATATTGTAACAGATGGTCCCTAGGGAATGGGGAGGTTCCAGGTTCCCTGCTCCACCCAAGGAAGGGTGGAGCTAAGCAAGAAGGAGAAGCTGGAGAGGAGAGCAGGGGGGCTGGGAGGAAGAGGAATGGAGAGAAAGGGACCTGGAGGAGCACATGGAGCAGAGAGACATGTGAAGAAGCTGCACTGGCTTCTTGGCCTTGGACTTGTACCAGGAACTTGGGGGACATGAAAGAAGACAGCTCAAACACACATGGGGGAGGCTGGTGGGAAGGGTAACAATGGCAGCATTTTTCTTGATTTTGGTTTTGCTCTTTTCCTTCCAGACTTACTTGGCCCCTTTCCATGTGTCTCCACCAGAAGGTACCTTAGACTTGTGGCAAGCTTTTGAGCTTCAGCGGCCCTGCTTTGGGTCAACCCTGTTGGGCTGGGCATTTACCCATGAGGGGCTGGGCAACTCTGGGTGCTTGATTGGAAACTATATTTTTTCTTCTCTTTATTACACACAAATTGTATTAAAGGTCTTACGCTCTTGAGTATGTTTTGTCTTAATGCGGCAGATGGCAGTACCCATTTAGAGCAGGCAGGTTTGGGGGTTCTGGAGTGCCCCCCACCCTGCCTGGTAATAATATCACTTGTTTGTGTCATTATTTGCTCATGTTTTCAAAATTTACAATAAAAATGCTATAAAATAGAGCTATTCTGCATTCAGTTTAACTTCTCCATGATTCCATTGTTTCAATATATTGTCATTCATTTACCCATCGCCAATCTGTTGTCATTTAGAGTTTCTATTATTTTGCTATTACAATGTTTGCAATAAACATTCTTGTACATATTCCCTGGTCTCATGTGAGAATGTTTCTGTATAATTTGTATCTAGAAGGCAAAGTACAGTAGAATTTACAAAACATGTAAAACTGAATGAAAATGTACACAAAAATTTGGAGAATACAGCTGAAACTATATGTACAGGGAAACTGGTAGCTTTAAGTATTTTTATTTCATGTAGGGAAGACTGAAATAGATTGGCTAATTGTTTTAAATCATGAAAGTAGAAAAAGGAAAGAAATCATAAAAGAAATAAAAGGAACAAATATCAAAGATACTAGGGGTCTTGTTTGTGGTGCAGAAGGTTGAGTGCAGTGCTGTGAGGCTCTCTGCAGCCTCTGCAGTGCCGGTTCGATCCCTGCTGGCAACAACCCCCATGGCACAGCAGACCTCTCCTATCTCGCCCACTGCTCCCCTCAGCAGTGTATTTCGGTTGTTCTGCCTGTTCTGTTCCCCACTCTGTCTCTGGTGGATCCTCTCACCCTCCCGGGCATCTGGTTTGTACCCTGGTTCTTGTATAAATAAAATAAATCTTTTTTTTTTTTAAAGATATCAGCAGAAACAAGTGAAATAGAGCAGAGACTTCCTGGTCCTGGTAATATGACAGATCCAGGATTCACTAAGAACAACTTAAAATTCTGGATAAAATACATATCTATTTAAATGATTGGAGAGATAACAAAAGAATGAGTTCTCAGAAGACAATCTAAGAGATTTTAGTTAACAAAGCATATAAGCCATTTTTACCCCGTCTTTGCTCTGCCCGAAATGTCTCATCTCTTATTTTCATTGGAGAATGCCTACTTTTTTTTTTTTTTAAGATTTATTTATTTATACAAGCACTGGGTACAGTCAGAAGTGCGGGAGGGTGAGAGAATCCACCAGAGCCAGAGGGGAGAGCAGAGCAGGCAGACTGACAAAGTACACTGCTGAGGGGAGCAGCAGGTGGCAGGAGAGGTCTGTGTGCCATGTGGGACCCTCGCCCGGTGGCTGGGGCGTGCAGCTTCACAACCCAGCGCTCAACTGCTACGCCACCGGGGAGGCCCCAGAATGCCTACTTTTTCTTTAAACCTCAGATCAATTATGACTTTCCCTAAATGGATAGCCTGACCAGTTTACTGTGCTCTATGCCTGTTTATACATGTCTATCATATAACAGGTGCTCAGCAAGACTGTGTTCAATGAGAGCATAAATAAATGAGCATCAACAGTGGGGGAGATAATTGGGTCATTGAGACAATGTTTAGGAGGAGGTGTATGTTAGGATGGGGGCAGGCATCCCAGACACTGAGTTTCTTACCATGCCAACAGGGCATCGTCGTGTTGCGTAGTCACCTTCAGGTAACGCCCACTTGAGTGACCAACTAGAGACTCGCAGGGCAAGGTAGGGGGTTGAGCACAGAACCAGAGCTCACCAGAATCCGCATCTCTGTACTGGCACGTACGCCCTTTTGCTTCAGTTGACTGGGGATCAACATTGCAAATCACAGTCTCTTCAGCTCCTGTGGGTCCCCGGAAATATCCTTTGAAATCAACTGTGGCCTTTTTCTCTCTCCAGATTCTTCGCAGAACCGCAACTGCCTCGCTGGAGTGGATCAGCCGCACTTGCACCTGGGCCTTCCCAGCCCAGAGCAGGGGGAAGGACAGCAGGTAGGTGCCATTCTCCAGATCCTGAATGTCCCCAGCAACCCCTGCCTTCAAGTCCGGACCCAGAAGTTGTGCCCGAAACAGATCTCCGCCATGGATCTTGGGTCTGCCCTTGTGGTCTCTGGCCACCAGGATGGCCTCCAGGGACTTTCCCAGGGTATAGCTGGCCTGGGCAGGACCCCTCAGGTGATAGGTGGAGGTCAGGGGGCTAGTGGAAGCCAAAAAGTCCACCTGATCTCCAGGAGTTGGAGGCCAGTACAAAAGATGAGTCAGGTTCGTGAGTTCCGGGGGGAGAGAGTATAGGAGGGGGGCAAATTCCACAGAGGTGGAGGGAGGTTTAGAGGCAGGGTAGGGTGCTGGGTACCGAAAGCTGCTGCTATCAGGCCAGGATATGATGAAATACACCATCTGTGGGCAGAGAAAAACAAAGTTCTTAGTAGCTTATGTTTCTCCCACTTTCTTCAGGGAAGGAGATTTTCATTCACCAAAGCTAGTACTCTCTGCCAGGTAGGACCCAGAAGTCCTGTCCAGCCTGTACCAGGTTGTCTATTACTCATCTGTCTGGTGTCTGAGTCGTCCTATTTATTTGAAAGAAGCATCTTGTGTGAAGGTGAAGTTATGTCTCTGGTTTAGCTACTGTTTCCTTATCACAGCCTTATTCTTCTACCTCCACCCTCCTCCCCTCCCACAGACATACACGCAGGCCTGTATCCTGTTCTCACATTGCTAGCTTTCCTCACCTCAGAAGTCTGCTTCCCTCCTAGAAGCTGTCCTCTTTTATCTTCCTCTTCCCTCTCTCCACAACTCCACCCCCATCATCTCTACCCAAGAGTTCCAACAGAGTCAAGTGTGGGTGAGCCATTTACTCAAAGCTGTTTAAAGTTACAGAAGAAGGAATGGAGACCACCCCATAGGGAACTCCCTCTCTTAATTGGGCTCAGTGGATAACAGAAAGGATTCGACCACAGAAACCATTGGAAACGTGAGATCCCATAGAAAGGCACAGACACAAGTGTGAATTACAAAAGGACTGAGATATGGCAGATTCTCTTCTAGGAAGAGATGCTGTTTGATATGACAAGGACTCTCCTCCAGGGGCCCAGAGCTCTCTGGGAGAAACAGGGTCACAAATACAGATCAAAGAAGTGTGAGGATCCAAACAGGAAAAACAGTAGAAAGAGACCATGTTTTGTATGATGGAGGTGGGTGGGGGTGGAAGGGAATCTAGGCACCTGGTCTATCAGATTTTCATCTACTCCCATCTGTAACCCTTTTTATTTATTTATTTATTTATTTGTGCGAGTCACTTTTTTTTTTTTTTTTAAGATTTATTTATTTATTTATTTATTCAAGTCAGAAGCACAGGAGGGTAAGAGAATTCACCAGAGCCAGAGCAGGGAACAGAACAGGCAGACTGACAAAACACACTGCTGAGGGGAGCAGCGGGTGGCAGGAGAGGTCTGCGCGCCATGTGGGACTCTCGCTGGTGGCTGGGGATTGAACCGGCGCTGCAGAGGCTGCGGGCAGCTTTGCAGCCCAGTGCTCAACCACTGTGCCACTGGGGAGGCCCTGTAATCCTTTTTATTCAGGCAAGTGTGATTCAGAAAAAAGAAACACACTGGCACATCTCAAATTCCAGTCTGTAAGAGGATCACCAATGATTAAAATGCACAATAAAATAGATATGCAGAACACCCTAAAGACTCAAAATAGCTATCAGAACTAATAAATAAATTTGGTAAAGTTGCAGGATACAAAATCAGCACACAAAAACCCAGTGGGCATTTCTAGATACAAACACTGAAACTTTGAAAAGGAAATTAAGAAAAAAAATCTGATTGACAAAATAGCAACAACAAAATACTTAGGAATAAACTTAACCAAAGCATAAAAGACTTGAACACTGAAAGTTATAAAACATTGGTTTGCCATAAAAACGCACATATGGACCAATGGAACAGAATAGACAGTCCCCAAATAAATCCACACATTTATATTTATACTTGCAGCAAAAGTGCCAAGAACACCTAACAGGGAAAGCACAATCTCCTCAAGAAATGGTTAGAAAAGCTGCATCTTCACATGCAGAAGAATAAATTTGGACAATATACAAAATCAAATCAAAATGGATTAAAGACTTAAATGTAAGATCTAAAATCATAAGACTGTTAGCAGAAAATGTAGGGATAGAGCTTCTTGACATTGTTCTGGGTAATGACTTATATATATGTGATACTAAAAGCACAGGCAACAATAGACAAGTGGGATTGTAGCAAACTAAATAGCTTCAGCATAGCAAAGGAAACAGTCAACTGAGTGAAAAGGCAATGGATAGAATGTGAGAAAGTATTTGCAAACCATATATCTGATAAGGGTCTCAATCTCTAAAACTTCTGCAACTCAACAACAAACAAACAAATGACAAGAACAAAAAAGAATTTGAGTAGACACTTCTCCAAAGAGGACAAACAAACAGCCAACAGGAATATGAAAATATGCTCAATGCCATCAAGAAAATGGAAATCAAAACCACAGTATTACCTCACACTCGTCATGATGACTATTATAAAACATATATGAAAGTAAACCCAAAAGACGACAAGGATTGGCAAGCATGTAGGGAAACTAGAACCCCTGTACACTGTCAGTAGGAATGAAAAATGGTACAGTCACTATGGAAAACAGTATGGATGGTGCTAAAAGGTTAAAAATAGACCTACCTTGTGATTTAGCAATCCCCCTTCAGGATATTTATCCAAAAGAATTGAAATCAAGATCTCAAAGGGATATTGCTATTCCCAGGATTCCAGCAACACAGTTCACAAAAACCAAGATGTGGAAATAACCATCGATAAATGAATAGATAAGGAAAATGTGGCATGTACATGCAATTAAATATCATCCAGTCCTATAAAAAGAAGGAAATTCTATAATACGTGATGACATTGATGAATCTTGAGTTCATTAGTAAGCTAAGTGAATGAAGTCAGTCATAGAAAGACAAACTAATCAAACTAATAGAATTAAATTGTGGGATGGTATTTGCCAAGTCCTCAAGAGAGGGAGAAACTGGAAGTAACTAATCAATCAGTATAAAGTTTCAGTTAAGCAAGATGAATAAATTTTAGACATCTGTTGTACAACATTGTACCGATAATACTGCGCAGTATACTTTATTTATTTTTTTTTAAAAGATTTATTTATTTATTTATGCAAGCACTGGGTACAGTCAGACAGAAGCACGGGAGGGTGAGAGAATTCACCAGAGCCAGAGCGGGGAGCAGAGCAGGCAGACTGACGAAGTACACTGCTGAGGGGAGCAGCGGGCGGCAGGAGAGGTCTGCGCGCCATGCGGGACCCTCCTCTGGTGGCCAGGGAGCAGCCGGGGATTGAACCGGCGCTGCAGAGGCTGCGGGCAGCTTCGCAACCCAGCGCTCAACCGCTGCGCCACCGGGGAGGCCCTGCGCAGTATACTTTAAATAAATGTTAAGCAGGTAGATCTCATGTTAAGTGTTCTTATTACAATAAAACAAAATTTAAAAATAAAAAATAATTTATTTTCATTAAAGTGCATATTAAAGTTAAAAGCAGACACGACACAGAACTGGGAAAGCTATTTGCAAGATACACAACAAGTGAAGGTGATTGCATGCAGAATCTGTAAAAAAATTCCTACCAAAAAATGAGAAAAAAGCAGATACACTAATTAAAAATGGACAGAAGATGCTTTAACAGACATTTCACAATAGAGGAAATTAAAATGACCAGTAAATATAGGAAGAGATGCTCAAATTAGTAGGGAAAGGAATGCAAATTAACACCAAAGTGAAATAACCTCTATGTTGTCAAAGAAAGGCCAAAACTAAAGGATAGTTAATACCAATGTCAGTGAGGATGGAAAGCATCTGAATCTTTCATACCGTGCTGGCGAAAGCATACATTGGGAAAACCACTTGAAAATTGGTGGCTTGTCTGAACATTTAACATATGCATATCTTAGGATAAAGCAATTTAGCTCATTGCTGTAAACCCAAAAGAAGTGTGTTTGCTCACCAAGAGACATGGACAAAGCGGCTTATACTAGCAATCTTTAAAATAGCCCCAAATTGGAAACAACCCGAATATCCATCAGTAGTGGGAGGGATAAATTGTCATGTCTCCCAGCACTGAGTACTATCATGAAATAAAAGATAATCAAATAATAGCTTTACACTGTCAACATGGATAAATCTCTTACAAATGCTGAATAAAAGAAGATACACATAAAATCATAATGTATGATTACATTTCCCCAATGCATAATCAGATCAAAAAACCCATATAGTGATAGTTGGAAAGAAGACTGGGTGGTGGTGACAGGGCAGGAGGCCTCTGGGGTACTGGTAATTTTTATTGAGTCGAGGGATGACTCACTCTTGTGTTATCTTTTATTTCACTGAATACCTGAGTTACAAATTTTTATGTATGAGTTCAACTGTTTCAAGAGGTCGGAAGTTTTACTACACAAAGAAGTCTCAGTCTTTTTGCTGAGGAAGTTTACTTTGGAAATAAAAACACTTTTGGACCTGCTTATGAAGGAATTAGCCAGATTCCTCATGCTCTCAAATGCCTTCATGCTCCTAAAATAAAAACCAATTTGTGAATCCATCTTGCCAGATGAATCTCTTAAGAGAAAATAGAAATCAAAATTTTCATGTGAAATCTCCAATTGTTTAAATGCCAGTAACCCATTCAAGTGTTTGCAACATGAGTTTCAATAAGCCAATCAAAATGCATCCTTAGGGGCCTCCCTGGTGGCACAAGGGGATAAATCTCAGCACTATGACGCTATCCATAGCCACTGCAGCATGAGTTCGATCCCCTGCCAGGGAATTAATCCACATGGCACAGCTGACCTCTCCTGTCTCACCCGCTGCTCCCCTCAGCAGTGTATTTCAGTCAATCCACCTATTCTGCTCCCCACTCTGTCTCTGGTAAATCCTCTCACCACCCCACACCTCTGGCCTGTGTCCCAGCTCTTGTATGCATAAATAAAAATAAAATCTTAAAAAAACATCAAAATGCATCTAACCAATAAGGCTCAGAGCACCAGTTATAACCTATTGACAAGGGGGAAATGCTTCTTCCTGGAGATATTCCTGACCTTTTGCTATATCCAAGTTTCCCAAAGAAACAATAAAGGTTACTCCAGACAATTGCCTGCTGTCCTTCCAGACGGGGACCTTTGGGATTTCTCTAGAATAATTTCTTCAGGGTTTTGTTTTGGATTTCCCCATTGGGCCCCAGCACCCCAACACTCATGCTCATGTAAGGAGACTGAGAGCCTCCCTCTCCCAGATTAAGATTGAAAATTCCCTCTCCCAGCTGAAGGCAGTTATCAGTCCAAACCCAAGTTTGCACAAAGAGAAAAGTAAAGAGCCAGCGATGAGAGGGGCAAAGGCGCTGGCAATACTCACCCAAAGCAGGATGAACAACGCCACAGGCACAACCTTGTACTTCTTGAATTGCTCCATCAAAGAACCCATCGCAGCCTAGGCTTTTCTCTGAAATATCCACTATGAACCATGGACCTTGGCGAGGTATAAAACAAAAGCAATAACTTTTAGATAGGCGCTCCCACATTAAAGTTTAACTCTGGTGACTTTCCAAGAGGTGTGGAAATTGTTACGTGGCTTATGTACACATTCTGCTTGGTAGGCAAACTCTTCCAGGCCTTCTGTCTTTCAGATTCTACCCATCTAAGTCCTATTCCCTGCCCTCCCCACCTCCCAACCCCAGTGCTACTTCCTGGCCTTTGAAACCATTACAGCTTCCTGTAAGCAGGCCAATTCCATTCTGGGATGCCAAGGACCCCCTCTTCTGCGCTAAGCCTGCCTTACTCATCCAAGCAATTCTCTCTCTTTTTTTTTTTTAAAAAGATTTATTTATTTATTTATTTATACAAGCACTGTGTACAGTCAAAAGCGTGGGAGGGTGAGAGAATTCACCAGAGCCAGAGCAGGGAACAGAACAGGCAGACTGATGAAATGCACTGCTGAGGGGAGCGGCGGGCGTGGCAGTAGAGGTCTGGCAGGAGAGGTCTGCCACGCCTTGTGGGACCCTTGCTGGTGGCCGGGATTGAACTGGCACTGCAGAGGCTGCGGGGGCAGCTTCGCAGCCCAGCGCTCACTGCTGCGCCACCGGGGGAGGCCCAAGCAATTCTCTCTTTTACAACTGTTTTAGATAATAATATCCAGACACCATTAGTGAGAGAATTAGATTTGATCATTCATTGTAGATTTTCATAAAATATGTCTGATATTCATTGTAGTTGCTTTGTTATACACTGTGACTGGGAGGACTTTGGAGTGACAAATTCCCAGTGTAAGGACAGGGTAATTACCTGCCAGCGCTGTCATCGAGGATTATTCCAGAGGACGGTGGAGAGGTGAGTGAGGTCTGAGGGAGGATGGGGTTCAGCACGTGATGGTGCCCACTGCCCTGAAGTACATATGATGAAATAATAATAAGGTAGAACAGAGAACTGGAATATCAAATCTAGAGAAAAAGATTACAAATATGGCAAGAAACGATCAACATTGCTATTTTTGATTGGACTTCAAATTTGGTGTTGAGACTGAATCAGCTGGAGTAAAAAGGTCAGTGGAAACTACATCAGTATTTCCCATCTTTCTGTCGTGAGCTAGGAATTTCACAGGATTTTGTCATATCCATCTCCTGTCTACACTACTTTTTACATAATACTTTTCCCTTAAACTTACTGACAAAATGCAAAGACATTCATTTTGAAAGGAAAAGAAATAATATCTACAAGAGTAAGGGTACAGGTATCCATCATATTTATGGAAATTTCAAACTTACAGAGAAGAATAAGAAAACAACTAAATCTCAGTGTGTCCACCACATGCTCTTTTGAATTGCAATCATTTGCTATACACAGAATTGTACAAAGCGAGTCTATATATTTCCTCAATTACTTCCCCTTCAGTTTCTCCCAAGGAATCACTGCTTGATGATATCTATGATTTCCATATTTTATATCATCCATAAAATATACACATAAACATATGTTATATTGATATACATTATAAATACCTATAAAAATCCATCTATAAATAGCTATTATATTTGCCTGATTTTAACATGTAAAAAAAGTAGTTGTATCTCCTGCAACTTGCTTGTTTTCCAATGTGTCATTAAGATTTACTGCTGTTGGTATATGTAGCTCTGGTTTATTCATTTAACAAACCAAATCAAATTGCATTGTATGAATATGTCAAAATTTATTTATATGTTCTCTTGTCCATAGACATTTAGAGTGTCTCCAATTTTTCATTCTTAGATACAAAACTGCAGCTTCTCTCCTCACACTAGCCTGCATGAGGGCAGTTGTGGTGACTTCTCTAGAGAAAGCACTGCACAAACGCTCTGTGCTGATTTGTTCCCAATCTGCCATGAACTGGTGCTTTTGTAAATTATAATAAAAAACTAATTGCCAGAAAAAAAAAACTTAGACAGAAAGTGGAAGCCCTGATTTTGTTTATTAGTAGATTCAACAGACTTAAATTATATTTCAATAAATGTAATTAGAACAAACATACGAAAAGAGAAAAGACAAATTTTACACATTGTTTACTGAATATTCTTGCATAGATAATAGGGTGAAAGGCTGTCACATTCAAGAACTTATGTTTTCAGCTTTTGGCTGGAACCACCATCTTCCAATAAAAGGCCATCACCAAGACACAGGGAAAGAGAGGCACCCATTGTGTGTTCTCTCAGAACACATGGGGCTGTTCCCTTGACCACATACATTCAGACTACAAGAAAGATGACACTGTAAACATCGAGGGGATGAGTACTGCCCCTCACATGTTACCATGACAAATCTGGAAGCATCTATGGTGTTATTACTGAGCACGCAGTTGGCATCGTAAACAGGCTAAGGGGAAGATTCTTGCCAAGAGAATCCATGTTCTCATTGAGCATATTAAGCACTCTAAGACCAAAGAGTATCCTGAAATGTGGGAAAGAAAATGATGAATGGAAAAAAAAGAAACCAAAGAGAACATTACTTGGGTTTGAAGGAAGCGCCCGCCTGCTACCCCCACAGCAGCACTTTGTGAGAACCCCACATTCATGGCATGGGAAGTGTGGGAAAAAATAAAGATCACTAGACTATAAAAATATTTCTCTTAATTGAATAGAAGTGTAGTGTCCCTTCCTACAAAATATATTTTTTAAAAAAGAACTTTTCTTTTCCAAAAAAAAAAAAAAAAGTTTAGTGAAATAGGACCTCCCCAGTGGCACAGCGGTTGAGTGCTGAGCTGCGAAGCTGCCCGCAGCCCCTGCAGCACCGGTTCGATCCCCGAACCCCGGCCCCCAGGTGAGGGTCCCACATGGTGCGCAGACCTCTCCTGCCGCCCGCTGCTCCCCTCAGCAGTGTAGTTCATCAGTCTGCCTGCTCTACTCCCCGCTCTGGCTCTGGTGAATTCTCTCACCCTCCTGCACTTCAGACTGTACCCAGTGCGTGTATAAATAAAAAAAAAAAGTTTAGTGAAATAACAACTGCTCATATTAAATGTCTAAGTTACACTTTGAATAAATGCCAGGTACATAAATATTTAAATGTTTACTGTGACAAATAAGCTTGTTTCTTACTGAAATTATCTAATTAGGTTGGACTGAAGGCAATACCACTCATGGGGATAAGGAATTCAAATTGTTTTTATGCCTTACTTAGATAAACCAGGTCCACAAGCTATGTTGATGGCAATGAAGGAAGATAAAGCTTTTCAGCAAACTCAAGATACTCATTTTTTTTTTTTGGGCCTCCCCAGTGGTGCAGCGGTAGAGCGCTGGGTTGCGAAGCTGCCCGCAGCCTCTGCAGCGCCGGTTGGATCCCCGGCTGCTCCCCGGCCACCAGAGGAGGGTCCCACATGGCGCGACCTCTCCTGCCGCCCGCTGCTCCTCTCAGCAGTGTACTTCGGTCCTTCTGCCTGCTCTGCTCCCTGCTCTGGCTCTGGTGAATTCTCTCACCCTCCTGCGCTTCTGACTGTACCCAGCGCTTGTATAAAACAAAAAACAAACAAACAAATAAATAAATAAAAACATGCCTCTAAAAAAAAAAAAAAAAAGATACTCATTTTTTAAAACATTCATATAAAATGAAGTATGTTTTCAATTCCAACCAACTATATAACCTGCAAGTTGTAGTTAAATTTAAATTAAGTATTGATGAAAGGAGTGGAATTGGAGTTTCCTGTGATCTTTTGATGCAAAATAAAATTCAAAATGTTTTGTCAAATAATAAAATGTTTGATGACAACTTTTTTGCATATCTTCAATGTAAAGATCACCCTCTATTTCACTGGTAACTCTTGTTAAGCTAGGAAATATGACTTCTTCTGTAGAAACTTAATACCTCATTGGAGAAAGCAATCAGAAGAACGTGCCTACTTGTGCTATAGGATCGGGATAGAATTTTTTGCTCAATACTGTCAATAATGTTTTGCTTTATTTGTGGAGTTGTTTGTAATGAGAAAATATTTAAATAATACAAATGCTAATAATTTCAGAATTTTATGAAATAATAGTGCAATCTTTTTTTTAAAAGATGTATTTATTTTTATACAAAAGCTGGGGTACAGGCCAGAGGCGCAGGAGGGTGAGAGTATTCACCAGAGACAGAGAAGAGAGCAGAACAGGCAGACGGACTGAAATACGCTGCTGAGGGGCTGCGCCACCGGGGAGGCCCAATAGTGCAATCATTTTATGGAACATATATTTCAGTAGAAGCATAGGAAAGGTTTTTTTTTTTAACTGATATGGAAAGATAGTCGAGATAAAATGGTCAATTTAAAAAAGAGGCTTGTTCAGACCAATCCTCTGGAATGATTCTGTAAGGACCCAGGCACCGGGGAAAATCGAAAACTAAGGCAGAGGCATTTCTCAGAAAAACCCCCAGCAACAGCGAGGGACCCGAATAACTAACCATATAAGTACGTGGGGCAGGAAGCTTCCGATAATCAGCAAGGGCCGCGCAAAGAACTCTTGGAACTGGACTCCCCGCCTAAAAAAGAAAATTTTCCACTTCCGCGGACAAGCATAAAAACCACATGGCTCTACTTTGGGGCGCGACTTGTTGGACTTCCCTCTCTGAGTCCCTGAGCCTCACCAGAAAGCGCAGATAAACTTCCTTCCCTTTACTCTATTATCCCTTCCTTGTTCCTCATTCCGTGTGCCGTAAACCTTTCAGATTCCATTTGTGTAAAAAATCGTTATGGTACATGTAGTGCCATTGTTTTGTTGCCCTAATTGCATTCCCCATTATTCTGGTGAGTCTTAAAATTTTGGGAGTGGGGGGAAGGGGTGTGGAGGGAGGGGGCGTGGGGGGAGGGGGTACTGTCCTCCACTACTGTAGAGTTCTGGTGAACAGTCAGTCAAGGTGCTCTGTCTTTTCCTGATTAAGTCCCAAACCACTCCGTTTAAACTCTTGTCTCTCAGATTTTAATGTGATGCAGAGTGAGCAAGAATTGCACATAGTCCGAGGCAATTCCTGCCAGCACTGGCACCCTTGAAATGATGCCTTTATTCTGGCCACCTGGGTCATCTAGGCTTTCTTTTTAATTCTATTTAAAAATCATTCCATTGATGATGTTTGTATGTATTCTATTAATTATGAAATTAAAAGATATTCCACATTTTTCAAAAATTTTCCTCTTTTTTAAAGAAAAGTAGGTAACTCCAAGTTCATGTCTACAAGTTACTATCAAAAAAACTATCTGATACATAAATTGGTATCAGGAGCTGGGTTCAGGTATCATATTCTAAGAATGAAAGTGTTATACTGAACCAAGATAGGGAGAAACAGAACAAATGTAGTGAGAACTTTTGTATTCCAAGCCTAAGACTAATAACACATGGCATATGGTGGACACGTTGGCTGCCCCATTTGCATAAAATCATATCTCCACTTACCTTAACATTTCGAGGCAATGAAAAGCTACGCACATAGATCAATAGACTTCTCTGGGCCGTTTTGCCATTCATGACATCAGACAGACAGTTGTGGGTGTCATCAAAGAGTGGACAAGAAGTTCCACGGAATGCCGGTCACCACCAGGGCCTGAATTTCATCCCTGGCCAGGGAGCTGATCCACATGCTCGTCTCTCTTGTGAGCTGCTCCCCTCAGCAGTGTATTTCATATGCTCCCCACTCTGCCTCTGGTGAATCCGCTCAACTCCTGCACCTCTGGCCTATACCCCAGTTCTTCTATGAATAAATAGTAAATCTTAAAAAAAAAAAAAAAAGAAAGGAATGTAGGAAAACAGTTTGTTAAGCCTAGAGGGTAAATAAAGGAGAGCTTATCTGGTGGAACAGAAAGAGAGACAATTTATGTTTCAGCTGTTCATCAACCAAGTCTGCCCAGGAAAGCACAGAAGGAAAAGTCACTGGATACTCACTAACTGCCACTGCCAACCTAAACAGTGATGGTAAAAAGAGTCTCAGAACTGTTTATCTCAACTGGCCATTTAACTTTAAAAAAGACTGGTTGATGATAACAGTGTATCATAATACCTTCAGAAGGAAAAAACCCCTTGGTTTTTGGGTGTGTGCGGCAGTTTTAATATATCAGTTTTTTATTTTATTTTTTTTTTAATAATTTTTTTTTAATAGAGGCATGTTTTATTTATTTATTTGTTTGTTTGTTTGTTTGTTTTGTTTATACATGCACTGGGTACAGTCAGAAGCGCGGGAGGGTGAGAGAATTCACCAGAGCCAGAGCGGGGAGCAGAGCAGGCAGAAGGGCCGAAGTACACTGCTGAGGGGAGCAGCGGGCGGCAGGAGAGGTCTGCGCGCCATGTGGGACCCTCCTCCAGTGGCCGGGGAGCAGCCGGGGATCGAACCGGCGCCACAGAGGCTGCGGGCAGCTTCGCAACCCAGTGCTCAACCGCTGCGCCACCGGGGAGGCCCCTAAGTAGAATTTGAAAGATAAAGAAAAATCTCTCATAACCCTTTATTAGGATTAGAAGTAGACTAATAGCATAAGAAAATGTTCTTTTAATAGAAAACCAATTTAAAGAAATCTAATTTTATTCAGTTTGTCCACACAAAATTCCTTTCACAAGATTCCTTTTCCATCCTTTTGCCATTTTCTATATTCATTAAGCTTTTGTCTTATTTTTTTGTCTTATTTTTTATCGATCTGAAACAATTACTTTGCTTGAAGATAAAATTACCTTTTCCTTCCTTTCCTCTATCAAAAGAAAACCCATGTCCTTTATCAGACAACACATTTTTTTCCTTCTATTCTTACCTGCTTTTCATATACATTTACTTCCTTATAACCATAATAAAAATACATCTCTAGTTTTCAAATGTTCTCTTCTAGAAAACATGCATCTTATTTTCTTTGCATATGGAAATAGTTTCTTTATTATTTTCATTAGCTTTAATTATATACGTTAATTAGAATTTTTAATTCTTAGAATTTTAATTTCTAGTGAAAATAAAATAATTTTATACTGTCTGTTACATTCATATCCTTTGAATTGGCAGAATTATAGTATATTTTATTATTTTTTAAGAAGTATAGTCTTCCTAAATTTTGCAATTTATCTATATGTTGTTTTTTGGTAATAAGTCAAAAGTAGGTAAACAGTAATTAATGTTTCAACATTTTATCTTGTTTGGAAATAATTTAGACTTTAATGACTTTCTATTATTTAGCTTAGTAAAGCTCTAAAGTTTCAAGTTACAAAAAATATTTGAGAGACTAATAAGGCTAGAATGTTCATTTACAAACTCTTGTCCTATTTATTTACTTAAACCATTTATTTCCATTGATTAGTTTTAATTACCCATAAAAACTTATGAAATACTAGGGAAAGTCAGTCATTATTTTAAGCTATTTTTCTTGTTAGATATCATGAACTTATTTTGAGTAATAAGCCAAGGTAGAATAAAAATATCATGCTTTAGCATCCTAAGAACAATTTTTTGCTTCATTACTACGGAAGCAGTGTGCAATAGATTTTATGTCATATTAAAATTAAGAACTAAATAGTTCCATAGGATTACATTTTTTTTATAAAGATTTATTTATTTATGCACACAAGAACTGGGGTACAGGCCAGAGGTGTGGATGGTGAGAGGATTCACCAGAGACAGAGTGGGGAGCAGAACAGGCAGATTGACTGAAATACACTGCTGAGGGGAGCAGCAGGTGAGATAGGAGAGGTCTGCTGCGAGGTCGTCGTTTGTAATGTAAAAATTCCCATCAGTTTATAAAGGGGCAGTTAAAACTGGGAGAAAGGGATGCAAAAGGCGGTAGGGATGAAGCAGCAGACTGAGGCAGGAGGCCTTGGAAAATGGTCTCAAGCTAAGACAGGCGGGAATATAGTTTAGCTTTTTTTACCTGGAGGGAGGCGATTTTCTCAGCGCTGCACTTGGAAACTTCCAGACACACGTTACAATGGGCTTCCTGTTCAATTTATTTCATTTTGTATCCTTTTTTCTTTAATTTCCCCTGTCGGCCAACTAATTTAGGAATTTCAAATTCAACCCAATTTTGATCAGCAGAGCTTTAAATCATCCAGAATAAGATGGAACCCTCTAAGTAAAAATTTGCATGAAGGGGGACATGCAGAAGTCCCACGAGGAATTGTCTGGCAGCAGTTCCTTCAGAAAGAATGTCCCATTTTGACAGTCTCATGGAATGTCACGGACCTGAAAGCATTACAGAACCTCATCAGAAAACAGAATAGGTGGGCCTCCCAGGTCGCACAGCGGTTGAGCGCTGGGTTGCGAAGCTGCCCGCAGCCTCTGCAGCGCCGGTACTTAGGTCCTTCTGCCTGCTCTGCTCCCCGCTCTGGCTCTGGTGAATTCTCTCACCCTCCCACGCTTCTGACTGTACCCAGTGCTTGTATAAATAAATAAATTAGATAAATAAATTAAAAAAAAAAAACGGAATAGGCAAAGCAGCCCGTGGGAAAAAAACAGACTGGCAAGAGCAAAAAGCAAGTAAGCTTTTTGTTTTATTTCCTTCCTTTTAGGGTGGGGACCTGTGAGAACTGCATCTCCTTAGTGGCTCCCCGGCCGTTAAACCCCATTGTCCACGTGGGTAACTTTTACTTTTCCTTTTGCTTAGAGATATTTCCTCATTCTTCTTCAATGCTTTGTAGTTTATTTAGTTTTAAAATGTTAATATCCTTCAACAAACCCACTCCCAACTCTTTGCCCTCAGAATGTATTTACTCTAGACACTTGTACTTAAAACTCAAACCCTCTCATTTTCTTTGCCTCCCTATTTTTGTACTTTTTGGATTTCAGTCGGCACAATCCCAAACTGTGTCTAATGCAGATGACAAAATAATTACACATCACTATTTTCTTGAACCCCCAAAGCTTAGTTTGTTTCTCACCCCCCTGTCCAGCCTCCAGGCCCAGCACCTCCTTAGCTATTATTTCCTAAAGCAGATAACATCAAATCTAGGGTTGATGGTTGAGGAGTCCAAATGGTAACTAGTAACTTAAGAGAAAAGCATAGAAATAGACCTATTGACCCTCTCCCAAGTATTTTTCTCTGTTTCCTTGGGGGAGGGAGGGAGGAGGGGTATGATCAGGGTCTTGTCCTTTCACTTAATCTCTCTCTCTCTCTTTTTTTTTTGATATTTAAAGAGCAGGTTTATTAGAAAAGGGATAGGATAGTAAAAGACACTTGCACAGACACAAGCGGGCAGGAAGTGCTGCCCTGAGAGAGACAGGTTTGCTAAGAGAGGCCTGCATGGTTGCTGGGCGGGCAGCCTTGAGGAGAGCTGCCTCTGCTGAGGGAGGTCAGTGAAGAGAAGCCCCTGCATAGTACAGGTCACAGGCAGGCAGGAGGCTGCTGCCCTGTGGAGGGAGAGAGTTGGTGAAAAGTAGCACCTGCACAGTCACAGGTGGGCAGTGGAAGTGCTGCCCACTTAATCTCTTTTTTCTCCTGAAAAGAAATACATAATGTACTACCTCCACTCCCCTCACCCTCAAATCCTGGATTTGGGTGATGTTAAGCTCTAGCTGCTTACTGTATATCTCGCCTAATCTGTTTCTTCTGCTACTAGGTTAGTCATTGCTATCTTGCTCCATTATTGCAAATGCTCTGAAGATAGAAAATGCACTTTACAAATGCTAAATGGTGTTATTTTTTCCTAACTTATTCTTTTGTTCTCTCTCTTTTTATTTCTTCCCTTCTTTGACTGCTTTTTAATGTTTTCTTCCTTTTCTGTTCTTTCTCTTTTCCATTTTATCCCTCCTCATCTATCTTTTCATTTTTCACTCTGCAAATGCAGTTCAACAAATGGGTGAGGCACAATGACCTCCTAGCCATGCTTTGAAGTAGTCCAGTTAAAGTGGGGAACCCAGGCCTCTCTGGTAGCCTGGGGTGAAGTCTCAGTGCTATCACCACCATGGCCTGAGTTAGATCCCCCTATCCCTATCCAAGGAGCTGACCCACAAATGATGCAACAGACTTCTCCTGTCTCATCCACCACTCCCCTTATTTCAGTAAATTCGCCTTCTCTGCTCCCCACTCTGTGTCTGGTGAATCCTCTCACCCTTCCCACCTCCAGCCTATACCACAATTCTGCTATGCACAAATAAATAAATAAACAAACAAACAAACAAACAAATAAATAAATAAATAATCTTTTAAAAATAATGAAGTGGGGACCCCCAGTTCATGGACTAGTAGTAGTGGTTTGAGATGAGATAGCACAGCACAGAAAATCCTGCAATTAAAGCGGAAACCAGAATGTCTTCATAGAGGAAGGGTTGGTTTGAAGAAGTTCAGACTGTCAGTAACTGACACACCTGCTCAACAATGGTCACAAAGGGAGGGAGGCAGCTTAGTTCTCACCATGGGGTCTGTGAGATCAGTATTTAAACTACCTGGTAGAAATGAATGTTAGGTATAGTCAATATGCATTGGACATGGCAAGTAAATGAAAGGGTTTTTTTGTAGGTAAATATATATTTTTTAATTTTTAATTTTTTTTTTATTTTATATATTTTTTACATCATTTTTCATTTTTTGCACCATGTGTGCATTTTCATCTTGGTTATAGTTCTCATACAATTCCCACCCCCCCTTATTTTGCTCCTACTCCCTTCCCCCCCCGCCAACCCCGTGTGTCTCTGGTTTATAGTTGCTTGTTGATTTTTATTTTTACTTTTATTATAATCAGTCTTTTCCCTGGTCCCTTATTTAGGTTTTCTAAATTCTTGCTATGAGTGAGACCATCTGGTATTTTTCTCTTTCTTTCTGGCTTATTTTGCTGAGCATGATTCCTTCCAGCTCCATCCATGTTGCTGCAAATTGCATGAGTTTATCTTTTTGATAGCTGAGTAATATTCCATTGTATATGTAAATGAAAGATTTAACCCTCAAAAAAAAAAGTAGGAAAACTGTCAGCAAGGCCCAGTTCTGGTGAGGGAACTCTTTGACATTTGTGAACTTTCAACATCTCCTGTTCTCACAGGCAGAGAGCAGGGTCAGCAAGATGTTGAAAGTCCACAAATGTCAAAGAGTTTCCTCACCAGAACTGGGCCCTGCTGGAGTTTTCCTACTTTTTTTTTTTTAAGGGTTAAATCTTTCTGTGTATTCTTCTAAGGGCACCAATCCCACAGCTCACTTTCCTGATACTTCAGGGATTGTTACTTCTCAGAATCCTTTGCTGGTTCTTCCTTTTCTTCCAACTTCTTAAGCTGGCATGCCCCAGAGATCAGTCCCTGTTTTCATCTCTATTTATACTCACCCCCTTGGTGTACTCGTTCTGTTTCATGGCTTTAAAGACTATCTGTCTACCAGCATTTCCCAATTTTATGTCTGTAGTTCAGAACTCTACATAGAGAGTGAGAGAGCCAGAGTGTGTGCAAGTGTGAGAGAGAAAGAGAGAGAGAGAGAGAGAGTGCGAGAGCGCACACAGATTTCTCAATGCCTGGGAAACTAAATCTCTGACTCTATGACCACCTGCCCTCCAAATAAACCACTCCACCCTGGGCCTTTCCCATCTAAGTTGATAAGAATGGCATCCTTCCAGTAGCTCAGGTCAAAAACCTTAAAATCATTCTTATCTCTTTTTTCTCACATCCCACATTCAACCTATCAGGCAATCCTACTGGTTTTACTTTCAACATATATTCATAAGATAACTATTTCTCAACACCTCCATGGTGCCCACGGTGTCCTACCATGATCTCTGACTAACTGATCTCCTTGCTTCCACACTTGCATTTCTACAATCTTTTCTCAATAAAACAGCCATAGTGAGCCTTTTAAAGTGAGGTCAGGGGCCTCCCCTGGTGGCGCAGGCGGCTGAGCGCTGCGCTGTGAAGCTGTCGCAGCCTCTGCAGCGCCGGTTCAATCCCGGCCAACCAGCGAGGGTCCCACATGGCACAGCAGACCTCTCCTGTCGCGCCCGCTACTCCCCTCAGCAGTGTATTTCGTCAGTCTGCCTGTTCTCTTCCTCGCTCTGTCTCTGGTGAATTCTTTTACCCTCCTGTGCATCTGGTCTGTACCCTGGTTCTTGTATAAAATAAATAAACAAACAAACAAACAAATAAATAAAGTGAGGTCAGGCCATCCTCTGTTTAAACACCCCAGTGACTCTCTACGTCAGTCAGAGCATGCTCAATAGGAGCAATATAATCTCCAAGGGAATGAAACTTGTTTCATAGGGGACAGGAATTAAAAACATCTTGGATATTACAGTGGTTTGTGGTCTTCCAAAGGTACAAGGTGTGTGTGTGTGTGTGTGCGCGTGTGTGTGTGTATGTAAACAACAGAAATCTTGTTCTGCAGGTTGCAAAGCTGAGATCAGATTTGCATATATATATATATATATGATTTATCTATGATATTGAAATATTTTGGGAGAGTGGAAATAAAATTATCTAAAGGGCACCATAATGGCAAGGGGTTGGGGGGGAGGGAAGTTGACAACCACTAACTGGCCAAATACCAAACCCCATAATGTCGGGCCCCTGTTACCTCCTGAGCTTGTCTCCTACTCTTCCCCTGGTCATTCAGCTCCAACCAGAGGTAAAAGAGAGAGAGGCAGTGGAATGAGTTACTTAGGAGAGCAGGCGCAGGCATGAATGCTGTCACAGAGACCATCACAGCAAAGGGCACTCTTACCTTCTTGGTGATTTGTGATTGAGATGTTTCATTTTTACATCAACGTGGCTGGGCTGTGATCCAGCTGTTGTCCACACACCAGTCTAGATGTTGCTTTTGGAAAGAAAGAAAAATATGTCACCAAAATATGCCACTTTGATCCCCCCCAAATTATTTTGAGTTGAAGTTATTTTATTTGCATTTTAAAAGGACAGGTTTATTAGAAAAAGAGAGAGAAGAAGACACACAGACACAAGCAGGGAGAAAGAGCTTCTGCTGCTTTGTGAAGGGAAAAGGTTATAGTCACAGGCAAGCAGGAGAGCTTGAGCTAAAGTTATTTTTGAAAACAATAGTGTAAGAAGGGCACTCTAATCTTCCCTTTTCCTTCCCAACAACAGGAAATAAACCCTCATATGGAAGATGTCCTCTTTATACTTCATACCAGATAGCAAGAAGCATTCTTCAAGGATGGGAAGTTGAGACCTAGAGAATCCATAAATTAGACCTTATTGTTATAGGGCAGCCCCGATATAGAACAGGTTGCCTGGCTGTGGGTCCTCACCCGCAAGCTTAAAAGGGACTTATTAATACTCCACTACAGGCACACACAAAAGGTTAACAAAAGGTTTACTTACAAGGGAAGCGGAAATGTACAACTCAGGGAGAAAACAGGGAAATAAAACCTTAAATGCGTCCTACCCGATCTGCCAACCTGGAAACCCAATGGCACTCTGAGAGCTGGCTGAGAGCCGCAAGCTGGTGGAGAGACAAAGGGCGTCCC